GCAAGTTCCATGAATAATAGCGGAGCGTTTCAATAAATTTTAATTAATTAATATAAATGAAATTATCATAAATTTTATTTTTTCGATAAATGAAGAAAAAGAGAGGAAAAAGGCGCTTAGAAGATGATGAGATCAAGCATACAAATCGCTCTGGTTGAGTACGTCCAGCACAAAGTGTGTCACCAATTTTGTGTCATTAAATTCACACTTAGTAAACATTTTTCGGGAGGATCTAACAACTTTCTTTCCTTACTCATAATATTACATTTCTTTCTTATAGAATCACAAGGCGCCAGGTGTGACTTGTTTCACATGACACAATACTCTGTGTCTAGTTTGACGCACTAACTCGGCGCTGTTGTCATAATTAGGATTAATATTTATCTATGAATAAATGAAATGAAAGCAAAATATGAGGGAAGTGACAAAAAGAAAATCAGAGAAAATTGTTAACAGAGATTTTACGGTTTATTGACATACCCAGCTGAAAGTATTAAAATATTTAATATTGCATGATCAATTTCACGATTGGCTTAATAGATGAAATAAAATGAGAGATTTAAATATGAAATGAAAAAAAAAACTATAAAATATTTGCAATAAATATGCCGCCTCTGACGATCACCTTAAGTCTCTTTTAATTGTATCTCTTATTAATTCTCGCAGAGTGGATTAATTTCGTTGTCACGGGCATATTAGTAACGACTTGGGACCTGAATTTTCAATATCCCACCTTTCACAGTAATCACTTCAATGACACATGCGACAATAAATTCATGTAAGTTAAGCTTGCCAAGTAATAAGCGATCAACTTAATTAAAATGTTAATTGCAATTAATGCTTCTCGAATGTCTGAGCTTTATGAAATTTACGGGAGAAGAAATTTCCTTCCTATATCGTAAATTTAATATGCATGTAAATAAATTTAAAAAGATTCTTAACTTTCTTTGCGCTGTCGATCTTGTTGTGTAGTAATTTTAGATTTGTCGACGTATTAAACCGAGAATTGAACGAATAAAAAAATCTTGTAACAAGTCAACAAATTTTCATTTTGTTGAAGAAATGACGAAGACAAAAATGTTGTTCTCCCATCATCAAATGTTCTGTAAAGTAATTTTTCTTTCAACAGAAATTAGAAAGAATTTATACATGGTAATTAATCAATACTTCCTTCTCTCCTTCTCGTCTCATCTGACGGTGCGGGAATTCGTTATTTTTAGTTGAGAATGATACATGGCGTAGAATTTATGGCTGTTGATGGTGTCATATTTTATTTCATTGCTTCTTTCACATTCTCTTTGAGATAATCGAACAACTGTGATACGATGCATTTCTTCGTCAAGCGTCAACTTTTGTGTTGTTATCGTTAAAGAAATTAAATTTTCGAAAATCGTTTGAAGGCAAAAGTAAAGAAAACTCCCAAGATTCAAAGACAAAGTCAGTAATTCGCCAATGGCAAATGTTAATGATGAAAAGTGCTTGTTTAAATTTCTTGCCATAATCATAATATAGAATGTAAAGAATCTAGAAACTTACAAGTGATTGCCATGCATTCCGAATAATTTTCATTTTTCTTGGATCAATTTTTGCTACCCTCAAGCATTAATGTTTCACCTTCACTAAAATTGTTTTTATTTATGCTGAGTTTCAATCTTATATGATAATTTTTTGCTTTCAAGACCGACGAGGCGAGACGAGATGAGACCATAAGAGAGAAAAAACAGAAAATGAAAAGATTCCGCACCAAATAATTCCGATTTAATTGCGAAAGATGTCTTGTGCTTCAACCGGTTTTATCTTAATATGGAAAAGGAAAAAAATAGAATAAACGCAGTTTTGGTTTTTTACTCATTGTTTATTCATTCTAGCAATGACTTTCACGACTTTTAACTACGTTAACGGCCAATTTATTATTATCCGGATTTGTAAATATTTTATGTAAGCTCTTCAGACTTTTTAAGAGTGACTTAAAATGACATAACGGCAATTCGATTCGATTACCTATAGTTGAGTTTGAAAAGTTTGCTTTATGCTTCATAGCAGAGCCAATATCTGCCTGCGGATGTTTACCTTCTGGGTTCTTTTTTATTTCTCATTGTTATTTCAAGAAGTCTAACAGGAAAGACACTGATGAGAAATCATCTTGCTATCCACAACATGAAGAAGAAAAGTCAACTCCAAAATGTTTTATGGTGAAATGAATGTTGTTTTCCTCCAGTCATGTTGTTTATTTTTAATCTTCATACGTTCATATTTTTCTCATTCATGTTCCAAGTCAAGCCGAAGAAAAAATGAACGTCATTCGACAGACATGAACAAACAAACAGAAAGATGACAAAAAGTTTAATGGATTTCTTGGTTGTAAATTGTAGTTGTGTTTTTATATCGGATCGTTTATTTGACTCATTTTTCTCCTTTCAAAACTTTCTCAAACAGAAGAAAAAGATAATTTTTCAGATTTTACATGAAATTATATCAGTTGACAAGAAGCTATCAAAGATTACAAACGATTATCTGATGAGTTTTATGTGTAAGATGTGAGCATGAAATTAAATTTCTACTATGATTTTGTGACCATTAAAAGTCTCGTTGACATTAACTTTATTTTCTTACAATTGGCATGGCGACAAAAAGTAATTAATTCGAAAACAAAACTTTTCCACGAAACACTCGAAACAAATTTCTTGCGACATATTTTTGATTGTTTATTTAAATATTATGAGTGTAAAAAGAATCTTTCTATGTAGTGTGTCATTTGTGGCAGACAACGATGTCTCATGTTAGCAAAAGAGAATTTCATTTATTTAGCAAAAAACCGATATCATTTTACAACCATCTCCATTTGAGTGAATAGGAAGGCATCTCATTTGTCTGCAAGTTGAGCAGATGAGAGAAAATAATTATTTAAATAGAGCTACATAATTACTAGGAGAATCGCTAGCAAGCATGTTTAGTTTATATTTAAACGTGTCTAAATTTATGTGTCCTTTGTAAAGAGTCCGCTATGACAGTCCCTTGTAACACTTAGACACAACTAAACATATTCCAGATTCCATTGGTTGCTTGCCATAAATAACAAAGAAGAAAATCTGTTTCGTCTACATCCTTTTTTATGTTCTCTCTTGAGAAATGTCCTTTCCTTTTACTTTTTTCTTTCGGAGATGAATATTCTTTGATGAATATGCATCCTTGAGCCTTAAACCATCATAGACCGTAAAAAATACTGAAAACAAGAAATGACAACTCTGTAGGGCAAAAATCAATTTGTTACCGAATTAGCCTTTTCTACTCGTGATTTATTTGGCTTTTTGACTCCAACCAACTAGGAAAAAGATATGGCAGATTCTTTTATGCTTTTAAATGTAACAGTGATCTCCTTACATTATGTGTAGGATAAATCATTTGACTTATCTCGACAACAGATAAACTTATACATGTAACAGCTTCTCTAATATGACCAGACGAGGTGCCATAGTTTGACGTAATGGGATGGAAAGTTATTGGCTCTCAATTATGTCAATTTCACCCACGATTACAACGATTCATTCATTCTCTTTTCATACGCAACATTGCATTTGTTTAGTTCAAACTGCATCAAGCAGATGTTTAAACACAAACAGCGTGATCGCTACATAAGAATCTCTTGCTGAACATAAATAAACGTTCTGAGTGCTTTATTTGCTTACTTGCTTCTTTTATTCGGTAGCTGAAATAATATTTTTCGTTTTATTCTCTCCTATTTTAGAAGAATAAATAACTGCAAAGGTTGATTTGCCTTTCCCAAAGTTACACTTGGAAATCTTTTTTCAATTGAATCAATTATTTAATATCGACTCTGTTACTTGATTCTTTTCTTTAATGGCAGATGCAGTTTTGAACTACATAGGTAGTAATGTTTTCTTTATTTCATGTGGTGGGATGTTTAAACTGAGAGGAAGTTTATTTGATGCTTTGCTTTGCTTTCGTATTCTTTCAGAAACTTCTTTTCCGCCGATATAAATGAAGTTCTATTGAAGATTTTAGAATAAATAAAATAAACATACAAAGAGAACCAAAGAAAACACATCAGATCAACTGCATATGTGTGTAGAAATAGGAGAACAAAAACCATACAAAATAATGAAGTCAAAAATAAACAAAGACTTTATGTGTTCTACCTTTAAAAACAAAGAAGTCAAGTAAAATTTATGCTAAGAGGAAATATTTATTTGGTTTGCTTTTGTGCAAAATTCTTTCTGATTGTAAAACATTTTGGTGCAATAAAGAAATCTATCGTTTGAAGGTGCTAGTTGAATGTCTTTTCTTTACTTCTTTCTTTCCTTCATGGAGTTGAAATAAATCGAATCTAGGTTTATGTCCATAACAAAATAGAAAATAGTTGCTTGCACTAACTTATTTAGAAGTTTAACATGAAATAAGGAAAGAAAACTTTCGCAACATTGTTTGCAAGAGCAAAACATTTAACTTGAACATTAAACGTTATTATCTATAAAGATTGCATATTTAAATTGATTATCTTTTGTTTACAATCTCACATTTTCCATTTGCACAGATAAAAAATTATGTGAGCTCAAAACAATGCCTATTCTTCTTACTTTTTGTTATGCTAATAGAAACTTGCTCACATCTAGAGTTTTCATTAATCATGCGCATGAAAAATCTTTTTCAAAAATATTATTTATGCCTCAGAAGTATTAAGACAAGTTTTATGCATGAATGTAAATAATTCTTGGAAACAGATATGCAAGAAAACTTAACAGATTTTGTGTGCCAAAGGAATAGCAAATGCTAAGAGTCGTACCTGCTGTTACTCTATCTCTGAGTTTAAACTTAATTCAACTAAGTATGTATACATACTTCGAAATGAATATTTCTAAAGAGAGAAGAAGAGGAACAAGCAGAATTTATGTGCCACTTCCAACTTTAAGAAATTACTCAAATTCCTTTATTTAATTTATTTTCCCTTCTTAACTCAAAGGAACTCAACTAGACAAAAAGTTTTAGTGCTACCATGTAATGACAAAAATTTTCGTCATATTCTTTTCAGCCTCAGTTATGCTAACAACATTGTCGTAAATAAGGATACAAAAGCATGTAGTAAGCAAAAGAGGAAAAGCTTGAGCGTGGAGATAATGGAAAAGTTTTTATGCTTGTTGGAGAAAGTCTTCACTCCCTTGAGTGTATATTTAGTGTTATTTCCTAATTCCTTCGAAAATAAACTTTAATTATATGTATGAAGGAAGCTTTTCGCTTCAAGCATTTCGTTTAAATACTTATTTTATTTTATCTCTCATCGTTCATAAGAATCGGGCATTTTAAAGCTGAGAAAAAGGCGGAACAATATAATTATGACTTCAAAAAGTTTTCACATTTGAATCACATCCGTTCGTTCTTGTTTTTGTTTGTAGAGTTGAGTTGAGAATATGCATCAACATTAGTGACAATTTAAATCCAAGCCACGTTTCATTCTATTTCAGAAATCTTGTATGCATCCTTTGTTCTATAAGAGTTTTCATCTCTTATGTTTCAAGAGTTTTTCTACCTGAAAAGGAGGAAAAAAAGCTTTTCCTGCAATACATAAATAAAACGAACTTTAAGTTTAGTTATTAATTCAATTTCTTTTTTTTTTATTCAGATATTTCAACTGTTAAAAATTGAACACAGATCATTATTTATGAAAACGATTTTCTAATTCTTATTTCTGTATGCTTATTTAATGTTTATAAGTTATCTAAAATGGATTTAGTAGGATTATGGAGAGTACACATCGGAAAGTGATTGTATTGACTCATCTTTTTTTCTATTTCTTCTCATTTTCAGTTCATTTAATTTAAATAAGTTTAGGCTTCAGATTCATCATTTCATTTTGACGAATTTTCCATGTAGTTAGTATGTGAATCTCGCGCCCAAAAATCGTTTATTGCTTCAAGTTGATTAAGTATTTAAATAGTAATAAAAAATTGTTTTCTTCTTAAATTTTATTTACATAAATTTCATACATTTGCGTTTTGATTATCTACATGGCTGTGTTAAATGCGTTGGATTTAAAATTACGGCAATGATTTAATGTGTTGAAATTTCCATTCCAATTAATATTTTTAATTTTATGTTTATTATTATTTATTTAGTGTCAGCAATTTACTGTACGTATTAACATATCTCCCGACAATTCACGGCTTCTTTTTTAATTTTTCTCTCTAGTTAAGCTGGTGGGTTAAGCTTAAATAAATAATTCATTGCAATAATATTGAGAACGTAAATGTAACAACAGAATGTCTAAAATGATGCTAGATAAATAAAAATTGAGTATGGAAATTTATGAAAAATACAAATAAAGAGAAATGTCACAAATATAAAACAAAAACGTCCTACATAGTCTATCACACTATAAAAAATATCACAGATTCTATTTTCTTTCCTTCTCTTTTTCTTTCTTGTTTTCTTTCTCACTTTCTGATGTGAAAAGAGAAAAAGAAGAAAACATTTCATCAAATAATATTTACAACACTCTTTCAATTGTATTCAATATGCTTCAATCAAGATGATTGTAATCAGTTTTAAAGAAACTTAGCAGATTTAGATATTCTAAATATGAGAAAAAGTTTTGAAATTATGGCATACATACATATTCAAATTTAAATGTATGTTGTTGTTTCTATGCTTTTTATGAAGCCGTCTCTTGAATCATGTTCCGCACATATACACACATATAATGCTAATATATTGAATTACTTTACTTTCTACCGATGTCAATATCTACTTTTGATGATATTCAGAATATGAGTTTTTCTTTTATGAGGGTGGTTGAGGGGGGTAGGAATGTGATTATGAGAAACCTAATTACATTCTCTTTTAAATAAGCTTTCATTTCACTTCCGCTTTCAGATCAAAATTTAATCAAATTTATTTTACTGTCAACTCTTGATAAGAAAACATTGAAGGGAACGGAAATTTAATTGTTATATGGAGTGAAATTTCTTATTGAGGGAATTTTAGTTCAGAATTCGACCCGAATGCAATTTTTCTGTTTTACTTTCAATTAAAATTCCATGTCGAAAGGTTTTCTTATCAAGAGTTGACTGTATTTGAAGTTTTCTTTTTTATAAATATCTATGAGCATCTATTTCGTTTTTGAAATGGGATCTCAATCGAATTTGATTAGAGATATTCTTATTATGTACACAGACGAAATTTTCTATTCGACGGCGTCGACAAAGAAAAATAGATTTTCCTTGAATGATAAGTTTAGTAGGGAAAGCGACGCCAATCTATCAGCACTACGTTTTTAAAACGTGATATTCATTCTTTCTTTTTTTCTGTTTCAGGAGCATTAAACTTGCGAAAATATAAACTCTATGTAATGCTTGCTTGTTTTATGGTTCGCTCAATTCATGCTTGAGCGAATTTTGTACCATCATTCACGGTGACGGCTGGAAGTAGAATTGCTGTGAGAATATAATGAACAGGGATTTCATTTCTTATTAGATTCATTTTTACGAGTTTTTTTTCTGTTCCCAAAAAAAATAGAAATAAAGATTGCGAGAAGAACGAAACTCTGAGACGACTTAAAAAAGAAGTATTAACAAGCTATCCAATTTGTCTTAAGAACAATTGTCTTCAGTCTTTTATGTCTGTAGATGTTTGTAGTTTAAGTTCGTTGATGAAACGAAGAAGAAATAAGACAATCAATGTTTTGGAACAAGACATGAAGAAAACTTTATGTCTTTCCCTAGGAAACTGTTCCTTGCTGTGCGCTTTCATTATTCACAATTCATTCTTTTCATTTCTATTCTTGTTTTTAATTATCTTCACCAACTCTTAAGACTTGATTTGTGTTCATCACTTGGATAGTTGGATGACTAGGAGGCTCTTCATATACACAAGACTCATCACTACATGAACAACATGTTTCACCATCACCACCACTTCCTCGACTATTCTCCCTCTGACTCTCCTTTGTATTTTCACTCGTTTGATCACCAAATTTGTTATGATTACTTCCCGATAAAATAGCATCGTCTGTTAATGTATCGTCACATGAATAACTATTACCAATATCATCTTCATCATGTTCAGTTGTTTCTTCATTCTCAGAGATTGTTACTTTGCCCAAATTACAAGAATTCTCGTCTTCATCACAATGTGATTCGTCGCCAATTATGTATTCGTAATTTGCATGACTTTGATCCGGTGTGATGATGCCATGACAACTATTATTATTGTTGTGATATTGTGACTCTTGCGGTGAGTGCTGATGCTTTTGATTGCCGCTTTTATTGTTCTGCCGGTGATGATGTTTAGTCTTTTGTTTTCTCTTATTATTGTTATTGCTTCCATGATTAAAATGGGAATGATTATGTCGTTGCTGTCGCTCCATTGAACAGCAATCCGATGAACATTTATATATTGAGTTGTCGTTGGGTCCATTCATCATCGGTTGAGAGCTGAGGGAGCTAAAGTTTGCATTATGTAACGTTGTGGGGGTGGTTTGTTTTGATGTGGAACAATTTGGAAGGGCGTCGTAACTATCGCACAATCTGTGAAAAAATTATTTGCAATTAGTGACAAGTAAAGAAAAATCTTCAAATCTTCTATGCTTTACCTTGAATTTAATTTCCGATGCGCATTCTGATATGGCTCGTACTCTGAATAAATATGTTCGTTGCTTATCAATGGCTGCTGTTGGGGACAACATGAACCGGGATTATTCATCATGTGATTAAATGCTTGCTGTTGATTCATTGCAGACTCGTGACAAAGAAAAGGAACTCGATTTGCAAATGGCATTCCGTTTGAAGAATTTTTACTCGACGATGTCGCATGATTGTAGTTGAACTCAGAAGGTTGTTGTGATATGTTCATGCTGTTCAAAAAATTTATATTTTCGATTTATTTATTTTATTGTCTTGTCATTTAATTTCCTTACTTTGGTTGTTGTCTCGATGACATTCCTGAGCCACTGCGGGAGCTTAATGACGACTTCTTACAATTTCCAATTGCCAAACTCGTTGCAAATTCCGAACCGTAGCCTTCCGGTATTGGTGGCGGACATTGTGGTGGCGGTGGGAGAAAAACTATCCAATTAGTTGGACCTGCATACAACAAAATATTTCGTATAATCACAACTTCCGTTTACATTATTATGATTATTATTATTATCAGCATTTCTCACCTGGTGCGTAATGTTTCGAATGCATGCAATACATTTGTTTGCCATCCGAATGTAAGCTCGATGTTCCGGACGAACCGCCAGCACAAATTTCGTGCTCTGAATGTGAATGAGTTGGATTTCCACACATTTCTTGTGGCATCGAGTTAATCAACATAGTCGTAGCATAAGGCGTTGGATTATCGGGCGATTTTCGACAGTTGTAGAAAGTACTCATATTCCGTGGATCAACTTCTGCGTAATCAGTGCCACAATCTGTATAATTACCTTGGGATGAAGACATTTGGGAATTTTCTAACAACTTCATGCCGCTTAAGCCTGAATCTTTATCAATATCTCCCGTGCGCCATCCCCGATCTATCCAAAGACTATCTTTGCCATTAATATTCATCAACACGTCTCCACTATTAACAACGCCAGGTACTGGAACAAACAAATCATAATGGATTAGAACGTAAGCCTTTGAAAGCTTCAACCTTGTGATGTGATTATTAAAATATTTTTGATTTTATGTATTTTGGAGTGGAAAAGTTGTTGGCGAGGAAACGCATGAAATAAATTAATAGTTCAAACACATACTGGTGCTAAAAGAAGATGATTTCGTACTTTCATTGTTATTCTTTGAGCTTCTAAATTTGTTGTTTATGAATCAACAACATTCAATCATGAACAACACAATCACTTTGTTTTGTTCGTCATAAATTGTGCTGTTAAGTTTTTATTGATTTCTATGAAATGTTATTATGTTAACTAATATTTCAAGGCTGTTCATTAAGTTCTAACATCGTCAACTTGTCGCTATTATAACAAGACACAATTATGTTATTCAACTTCAATGTATTAATGACATCACTTTGTATCATCGCTTTCAATTATTTATTCATAAACATTATGTTAATGATAGAACTTACCGTTCAAATGTTGAAGTCCTTTCGATAGGTTTTTCCTTCGTCGACTAAGGAAGCGAAGTGTGAATACCGTAGAGACAAGAAAAACAACAAGCACGATGACAATTGCAATCATAAACCATGGTTCATTCAATATACTGTCGCTATGAATTGATTCGCCTGATGAAATGCCACTTGGATGTGCACGAGGTGGAGAAATTAAATGGGATGGATCCATGACAAGTGCCACCTTTTTGTTTGTATTTTGAATGATAAATAAATACGAAAAATTTTAATTAAAATGAAATGTAATTGAATGAGATAAATTAATTCAATGTTTGGGATGAACTTACCGGCTTTGAATATGGACCAGCGCCAACTCTCGTATATGCCACAACACGAGCATTATATGTTGCACCTGTTGTCAGATTATGTAATCCAACTGACAAAGTACTGGAATTCAAAGTCATTTGAGCCAAAATTTTTGTAGAGTTTCCAGCTTTAACTTGAATTTTGTAACCCAACAAGACTCCGTTATGATGTTGTGGGGGTGGTGGACTCCATCGTACAACTCCTGATGTTAAATTCAGCATGCCAACTTGTACGTTGGTCGGTGGTGCTGTCGGAACTAATAACAATAGAATAGAATAGAAGAGAAGAGACATAAAGCATGTTAAAATGCATGAATTAATTTAAAAGTTCAACGAGAGCTCACCATCCTCAAGAGTTTGGACAATTTTAGAATTGCTTGGTTGACCCTCGACAGACCGATAAAAAGGCGAAATAAAAAATTCATATTTAGAGAACTTATTCAAGTTGCCAACATCATGCATCTCGCTGTCTGGCTTCATCACAGTCACACTGTTATACTTTTGTGTTTCATCGCCTAAGTCACGATATCGGATGTATAAACCCTTTAAATATTTAAATTAAATTTTTGTTAGTTTTTTTCGTCAATGAACTTCATTGTTCAACATTTGCAGAAGAATGAAATAACAAGAAAAAAATATTTGGAAATATCGACATGAGAACAAATCTAATTACGAAAGCAATTAAATTATTCCAATTCAGTTTACCTCGATGTAGTACTCAGTGTCGCTCAATAATAAATGCCATTCAAGACGTACTGCTGTTGAGTTGACTGCCAGAGCGTCTGTCAATTCCAGAACCTGTAATGTTCAATGAAAATTTCACAAATCAATGATTTCAGTAAATAACATAATTGATAGAATTGCCTCGTAATTTATAACGATAAGAGAGAGAAATAAGTTGAAGGAAATTGAATTTGATGCTGATGAGATGACGTTAAGTATTGCGTAATGATTAAATTTTATAAAATGGAAAAAGCCACAAAAATGAAGAAATTCTACATTTTATATGATTCATTGAAATGGAATTAAATTGGCTTCGGGTAGCGATGGTAAAAGAATATTCCACTCTATCGACATCCTTCTGTTAGCATAAAACTTTGGACGAAATAATTTCGCCATTTATTGCTTTGCATTATCTATTTATTCTGAAATTTTATGTTCTACCGCAAATCCGGTGTGAGTACAAAGCGAGTGGATAAACAGAACATTTACATTAGATTTGGACTGAGAATGTCTGAAAAGGCATCTCATCTACATTGGAAAACATTTGAAACAAAACGAGAATAAATTTCAAAGATTAAACTTTTTAATGAAACCGAGGAATAAACCAGCAAGAGAAGCAACGAAAAATGAATCTCCAGGGCAATTTTAAATCCTAGCCAAAACCTAAATCCATGTGAACAGAAAAAAATTGTTTGTGAACTTATATTTATTTCTGCTCAACAATCAAACGTTTTTGTGTGTTTAATACAATAAATAAAAATATCGTTCATATTTTCATCGTAATCCATTAAAAGTTTTTCGTTAAATTCTCAATTTAATTTCGAATGTGATGAATGAGTCAGTTTTGTATGAGTTCTGGCAAGTCAGATAAATATTCGCAATTCTTCTTCATTGAATGTAAAATAAAAGATTTAAGTGTTCTTCATCAACGATTTATTCAAAAGTCTTTCAAGTACCTTCATGATGATTGAATATTTAAGTACGTTTCAAACTCATTTATTCCCCTTTGTATCATGCAAGTATTTTTGTCCGACCATAAGCATTGAGTTCATTTAACGCTATCAAATATAAATTCAATAAAATCACTAAATTTACTCCGTTCAATCTATTTTATATTTTCGTTTTTATTCTCTCACAAAACGAGATCGAAAAGAAATTGAAAATAAAATTGAAATTTATGTGCATTTACTCCCAAGATAAGGTTCATGACGGGATAGAAAAACGTTCCGTTACGTAGTAGTCGAGGCAAAACGAAATCTGTACATGACTGAAATTGCAATTTGACCTCCGCACTATCATCAAGTGATATATCAACTAAAACTACGTGTAACTCCCTCTCTCCTTCTTCTATGTTCAACAACAACAAACATTAAGAGCCGAAACAAATATTATAATGTTGTAGTTATTCATGCAAGGTACATTTTGCCGTTCATATTTATGTACAATCTTTATGTTAGTTTACGTATGTCGGATAGAAAAGAAGAAGGAAGACATCGTCAACATAAATTTCACTTTATTTCCCATTTTCATTTCTGCTGAGCATGTTCATGCTTTACATCTATTATTATTGATGATGATGATACCAACTTTTCGGATGTGCATGTTCAAAGTTCACTTCTTTTTTCTTTACAGAAAACAGATGAAAGATGAAAGATGAGAGAATGTATTGAATCATCATCTATTTTCGAGTGAATAAAATCTAAATAAGTAACTGTTTGCATTTTCCATCTTCATTTCTTTTTGCGTTTGGGCGTTTCATTGAGATTAAGAGATTGCTTGAGAAATCATATATCACATTGCTCACGTCATAACCGTCACGTTCTACCCTTCTTAAAATGTGGATGAAGAGTCGGAAATCTAATTTATCACAAACAGTCTCCTGTAACAGTCGCTCTCAACGAATAATTTCTTTAAAGGAAAAGCCATGAACAGCGGGTATAGATTGCATGATGAAAAACATGGAAAAAAAGCGACGAATAATCGCCAAAAGCTAATTCTTAATCCTCCCACAAAAATATTATAATCACATCGTCGTTTTCAATGCTCAAGGCAATTGAAAATCTTCTCTAAATACGAGCATAAAAACTGTCTCAAATATAATTTATAGCACTGATATCGCAACATAATCACTCTTAATTGCTACAACATTTTCATCATCCCATCAAAACGTCACTTGCACGAAACAACATGAAAGCAAAAGTAAAATATGTAGAAATGAAAAATGCTTCTTCTAAATTGCTCTAATTATTAAACGAAATGATCTTAAATTCAACTGGCAAGAAAAACATTTCGGAAGTGTGAGAGAAGAAAACGAATTGAATTTATTTTATTTTACTCCCATTTTCATTTTCATGTTGGAAAAACTGATAATTTATAACTGTGCGCGCTATGAGATTTGCTTTATAACCCGAAAAATTCATTCATTCGATGATAAATTCATTAACTGCCTGATCTCTTATATTTCAATTATGTTTTATACAAATACACAATTTTTACTACTCGCGATATGCCTTTAATCATGGAGGTCAAAAACTTTATTTCCTCCGACAAAACAGTAAATTAACGCTGAATACGAGTTCGGTTCGTTCAAGTTGTGACTTTCTTTCCTCTCACTCACTCTGCAAATGACATAATTTACGAAAGTCTTAGAATTTCCTTTCCATTTCCTTTTATTTTCCCCATTTTCCATCTTTCTCTTCTGATCTATAAATATATTCGACAATAAATTTCGAACATTCTTATAATGTTCTCGTATATTTCTTTTAAGTTACTTTTAAATGGAAAATGGGGAATTGAGAGAAATTGGTATTATCACGGTGTTTTTTGCACCATTGGAGTAAGAATCACGAACAGAATTTTCCTCTAAGATATCAAGAATTCAGGAAAATTTCTTTTTTCTTTTTCCTTTTCCCCGTCACCTAATGATAAATCATTAGTCTCTCCTTTTGCACTTTCACGTAGAATTCGCGCAGATATGCAACTTGAAAGAGTTTTAACTTCACTTTAAGCCCGTTAAATGCACAAAAATAATTTTCCCATCGTATCTACAACGAAATAGCGGGATTTGGTACTTTAATATAAGTAAAAGTGCTAGTGAAAATTTATTTATTGCTTTTAATAACAGCACATTTGTTCGCGGAAGTTTTCCTGTATTTACTCGCTAGCCAGACATAGCACAATGTAAGAAGAAGAAAGAAGAGAGAATTAAATCCCAAATTGCATAGAAAAATAAAGGAAAAATAAACATTGGAGTTATGAGCTTCCCGAGAACAGCGAATGATTATTTATGTGACTTTTGAAACTAACAAACAGTTGTAAAGAATCATTGAAGAGAGCGGTATATTTAGTAAGTCGTCGGTTGAAAAGGAAAATAAATAAACTTACCTTGCCACTGAGAAAAGCTCGAGCTGAGGCTAATTCGTTAGGTGGTATAACGCTTTTGTCGGTATCCAATGTTTTGATCACACTCGACACCGGCGATGGAACTGAGAGACCGTATGAGTTTTCAGCACGAACTATGAACACATAGGACGTAGCCGGCTTCAAGTCGCTTATCTGCAAATCATGCAATGAAAAAAGAAAGAAGAGAGAAAAAAAAATGAATATTTTTATGTGAATCACAAATCAAGCTTGAAAGAGGAGGGAGAACCATTGAGATATGGAGATTAATGCTGGTTTTCTTTGCGAAAACAAATTTTTTTAATTATACACATGCAGGCTTTCATTCGACTGATTACAAGCCGATTCTTCCCGTCTCATTTGCAAGCCTATGTCGGCATGAGGCAGAACAAATAAATTGCTTCTATTTATGTTGAAAAATGAGACGAATTCTTTTGAAAAATGTGACGGCTCGACTCGCGATTTGTGTAGGCAAACTCCCAGGCGAAATAATTAATAAAATGCCATAAGGGGATTGAGCTAAACATAAAATATCAACCAGTAGCGTGGAGCGTACTTTGCTTAACTTGGAATCTTAAACTGTCCATGTAATGCTTTATTTTATTTTTCATTAAAATGAACTGCAGCCAACCATTAAAAGTATTTTCGCTGCAAAAATACTATCAGCGATGTGGACGTTCTGAGTGTTGAACGTAAAAAGCTTTATTAGATTATATTAAAAACTACTTGTTTGTTTTAATGCTGTTTATTTGGCCGTTAGAAGCTTTTTATGACAATCGTAAGAACATTACGATGAACAGGAGTTGGTTTATTGCTTGAATCAGCAAAATTTGTCATAATTAAATCGTCGAGTTTTAGATAAAAGTTTTATTGCCTTGTTTCCCACCATGGAAATTCGTATTGCTGACAAAAAAACATTTTATATCCAATAACATTATGCGATCATCATCAATTAACGCTTTGCAATAAATATGAGATGATCTCAATAGTTTATTCCGCCATTATTCGTTAGTGTAATTTGTAAATTTGCATATTGAACTCACCGTAACGACATTAATGGGTATTCTCTGAGCTGCCAAGATCCATCCTCTATGCAAATCGGAACTGAAATATTCAATCGTGTATCCAATGAACGATGAGCTTCCTTGCTTAGTTGGAACTTTATTCCATGCTAAAGTTATGCTTTTACTTGTAACATTGATTAGATTTGGTTCATTGGGTGGTGGTGGAAGTGTACTGGGATCGGGTGTACGATGAAGAGCACTTGTGGAGCTCTTTTCGACCTGTTTAAAAATGCAAAAGTAATCAAGAATTAATTCTAGTCGATACTTGAAATAAACAGCATGATGTGAAGGCCTTCCGGCTCTTTTCGAAACAGCAACGAGAAAGAAAATCAACATAAATTTCATGCATATTATTAAAATGGATTTTAATTGCAAATTTTTTTATTATTTTTTGCTAACAGAAAGCGTTATTTGTATAAAAGTAAGAAAAACTTACAGTAAGAGATGCCGACCAAGATGTCTCTCCACTTTCGGAAAATGCTGTGCATGTATAAAAGCCCGAATCATCGAGATGTAAATCTGTTTAAAGAGGAAGAAAGGAAACCATAAAAGATGAATACGAAATTACAAAATAATATCAATAACAAATTTCTACTCTCAATTTCAATCATCGTTGTTGTTATTTTTCCATGACAGCAAACTCATACAAGGACGGGAAGAAAACTTCCAATTAAGTAAAACTTCGCTTTTTAAGTAACAGAACGTCGTCGTCGTCATCGTCTTTGGATCTTAAGGATTGCCTTAAGCGAGACAACAGCTCAGCACTCGTTAATATCAAAGAAAACCGTCACAAAGGAATATTAATATTTTAATATTTATTCTCATGCCAACGTAATCTTCGTAAGTCTTTTTCATTTCTCTCCAAAAGGCGAAGTCAATAAGTGTTCTTCAAGAATTTATTAAATTTCTTATAGTTTGGGAATTGTATCAACATTGAAGTATTTTGAATTAAAATTAAAACTTCTCGCATATTTTTACAAACACTCAAACGTTTATTTAAGTGTAAAAAGCGCCCCACCGCAACCTCATATAGGAATTCACTCAACATTCAACAATCAAAGGCAAAATCTGAAACTTTTCCAATATCGAAGTAATCTTGAAGCTGTTTCCTAAATTAATGTATTCCAATTTATTCACATAAAAAACCCGTAGAAGATCAAGAAGTGCTAAAATTAATATTCAATCAAAAAATCAATTTCGATTATTCATTCATTCATCACTTGAGTGAATAAACATAAAAAGGTCCGCAACATGGAACTGTTGGAAATTAATTTCTCAGCTTGAAAGTTATCTAACAATAGCAGACAGAGGCAGAAATTCAGTGAAGCATTCAGAGCATTGTGGGAGGGAAAAATTAACTTTCTGCATAATATGCAGCCCCTCATGCGATATGATAAAGCAACCAGAATTATTCAGCTTCTTTTTCACTTCTCTCATCATTTTTCTGTAGCTTTTCTAAATAAAGAAAAATCTTTTCCCATCAGAATTTCGGCCTTCATTCGCCCTCATATTTCAGAATAAAATTTTCAAGGCTGAAAACATAGAAGTGAAAAATACTTACTAAGCATCAACATGATGCCTCTTGATCAAGAGATTTTTCTTCTTTTTTTTTGTATATTTCATAAACATCTACTTATAATAGACATCCAAGGAGAAAAAAAGAGAAAAATAAATTCGAGAACATTCAACATTCGCAAATGATGAAATCAAAATGCGCAATAATGAATTTAAATTTTTTTTCATCAGCTTTACTTGAAGTGCTTTCAAATTGGATTTCCTAAGAATTCCATCCCCTAAGATATTTTTTATGTTTTCTTTCTCTTTGTTTGGTTCTTTTTGAAGTGCAAAATTGCTGAGTGAAAATTCAATGAAGAATAATAAAATGCAATTTTGTTTAATTCGCTTGTTCTAAATATGAGAAGAGTTGAACGAACACTCGAATGTGATTTCATTTTGAAATAAAATGAGAGAGGGATTATTTTAATAGCGGGAGAAATTCTTATGTTTTGTCAATGTCAAGCAGCATGACAGATTTTTGACGAAGACTTTTTCTTTTATTTAAATAAATCACAATTTGTGACGAATGACAAAGCTTAAATCTCAAATCTTCGCTGACAGGAATTAACTTTCACATCTTGCCAGCAGTTTGAGCATCGTTTAGAAGGATTTAGAAAGCTGCAAATAAATACAAAAGACCTTCCCAACATCCAGACATCTAATGAAAACATTTAATTAACATAAAGCAAGGATTTGGCTTGAAAATGCAAAATGACTTCATAGCTTCCGCTTTTTTCATAATTGAAAATTCTGAACTTTTAAACTCTCAGTAGAGTGTAATTGAATTATGTGAATGAAAGAGAGAGATAATGGCCATGTAATTATGTCGTAAACGAGCAAATAAGTAGAAAACATTAAAAAATCTGTGTTCATTGAATGAATATGTAAGCAAACATTTCAATCACGATATTTTTAGATTGAATAAATAAATAAGCTACCTAATTGATCCCTTTATAGATTGTTTCAAATTTTGAACATTATGAATCTATTAAAAATCAATAACAACTTATTCTGCAAGTCTTTTTGCTTTCATATTCCAGAACATTGTCTACATGTGTATAACTGAATTGAACGAACTTTCTCGTGTTGCTTCGATGTTAACAACGCCATCAATTTTCATTATTACTCAATGTTCATACATATAACGATAGCGAATGATACTTGGTAGACAAAGCATAAGAACGCAGACGTTTTAAACATTAGCTTCATGCAGCTTTTAACGCACATGGGAAAATTAATGTTTTTCCTGTGAAAACTTAATTTCACTTCACATGCTGCAAAAATCTTTTAAAAGCAATAAAAATGCATTAATATTCTCGCTTTTTTCTTTATCAATAATCCAAAAACAGATTAAAATCAACTTTCAAGCATTGCCAGAGTATTAAATGTTATTAAAATTTTCTTCCAGCAGGTGCTGCAACTTGCAACTTAAAACTGAAGTTAAATTGTTAAAAATTTTAGCCAGCAGTTCTCAAAACTCTTCCGTTCTTTAATTAGATTATAAAAGAATATTATTCATGATAATCGAAAGCTTTATGAAGTGTTAGACTTTTATCGTTAAAATTCTTTGCCAGAAAGTTTATTTAAAAAATTTTTATAATTTTTTAAAGACTAGGAAATGGTTTGTGAAAAGCAAAAGAAATTAACGTTGACATTAGAAAAGGTTAAGGGACCTTGTTAAATTCAAATTCGACATAACCTTCGGATGAACCCATTTATTCTGTCGCTCCTGTCTTTTGATAAAGAAAAGAAAAACGTAGGAAAATATCAAATGGATTTTCCCTCGTCTTTTTTCCTGGCATGGCATTTTTTGTAATTTTCTTTTCACTCTTTTCTCTCTCTTTTTACGGTGAAATGTTTCAGCTCACATTAATCCTAAACTGAATGGTTTTTTCATCAAAAACAAAGTCTTTTGAAAAGGATAAATGAAAACGTAATCTTCTTGTACAATTTTTTTTTGTGGTCGATGAAAATGCTAATTTCATTTGGAAAGCAGCAGGCAAAAGACATTCGGAAACTATTTGAAGAAAGTCCTTTTATGTTATTTTTCCTTCTCATTTTCCGAAGGTATTAGAAAGTTCTTTGTGTGTTTATGTAAGGATTTTAGCTTAAGGTTATTTCCTTCAACTTGTTTGTGCCATCTGTTTGAGTTTCGATCGAAAGATATAGCGAATTAAATGGATTAACGTGTCCGTCTAACTCATACCGTAGATAAAATAAATCTGCTTGATTATGTTTACTCAAAAGTTTTTTTCAGTGCTTTGATTGCATGTCGTGAGCTTTGACTCGTTTCTTTTATGTACGAATTTATTCAATAATCCCGCATACCTTCGAAAATAACAAAAATAACGTCGTCGTTGATTGTGAGATTCGATATTTACAAATCAACAATGGCATTTCTTTCATTTCATTCTTTTCCCAACTTAAAATCACGTTTTAATTGTTTGTATTGACTTCAACTTCATTCAATGCAATGCTATGTACACACAATGTTTTTCTTTCTCTCAAATTATAAAATAAGTACCTACGGAGAACGTGTGCTCGTTATGACAATTTAACAACATAAAAAAAATCATCAGATGGATGAAGTAACGAAGAAAAACGTCTCAATTACCGCATCGTCATTCTCCTTTAATCAAAACCGCAATTATTGCGATCTTTTGTGCGAATTCATAAGAAAGCTCAGCGGGGTGGAATGAATGAGTATGAGAAAGATGGAAAGGTCACAACTGACGACCTTCCTCGATTGTGGAATTTTCATAAAATAAATACACAAGAAAAATATCTCACCATCAATCTTCAATGTCCCACTTTGAACCAAAGAAAAACGGTTTTTGACTTGTATTGTTGAGCCATCTTTCGACCACTTGATATCTGGAGTGGGATTTCCAGCTGCACGGCACGGAAGTGTTGCCACGCTTCCTTTCGGAAGGGTTTGATTACTTGGCCCAATTTGAATGATTGGGGGTGGAATGTCGTCTACAGATATGACCTGAAATACACAAAAAAAATGTACATAAACGGTTTAGCTTAAATAAATATTGACTACCGTCGAAAATAAAATATAAAAAAAACTGAACCTTGTTGCAATAAGGAAAATATTTGATCAGCAACGAGTAGTTTATGTTATCAATTTATTTATCTATCTACTCTCATCGAAACTAAGTATCTGTACACATTGAGCAATGGAATGAGTTTAGACATGTGCTGCACACTTTTGCTGTAATCATCGACGCTTTTTTACTGCTGATAAGAAACAGTAATTCATCATGATGAAGCGACAGAAAGAAGGAAAAAAAAGTGTTTTTTGCTAGAGAACGAGCATCTCCAATATGTGTTGAAGAAAGCGTTTTCTTCTTCGAAATTGAAAGGAAATGATGACGAAGCATTAAAGCGTTTAAATACATCCTTTTTGTTTTTTATCCTCAAAAGAATCCCGGGACTCTTTTTCCCATCTATTCTAGCTTAAAGATAATGTAACAAAGATCCTACGTCATGATTTAACGAAGACTTGAACATTAATCTTTAATTCCGTTTTTGTTTCAGAGTCTGCTTACTTATTAGTTATGAGTTCTGTTTTGGGAACGTTAAGATATATGACACGCAACAAGGCAATCTGTCTTCAAGGTTCAGTTTGAAAATGCTGATTCGATAATCTTTGGGTGTGACGTAACACTTAGACGTTGCCTTTAATTATTTTCTCTTACTCTTTTTGTCGGTAATAAATGAAGAAGAATTAACACTCATGGCACATATGAGCCATAAATATTCACACTAATGTGAAACGTGTTCGTTAACAACAGGAGGTTTTCCTTTAGTTCCGATTTAATTGCATTAAATTTGTGTTTCAGACATAAAGTTGAGAGACAAAAATTGATACTCACTTGTAAAAAAGCTCGAGTTGTTCCAGATCCCGCTACGCTAAATGCTGAACATACATAAAATCCTGCATCATCTTTTTGTACATTTCGTATCTCGAGGGTTCCTTCGGATGAAACATGGAGATGACCGTAGGATTTATCAGGAACCATCAGCTCTTGTGAACCCTCTTTCGTCCAAAACACAGATGGTTGAGGGTTTCCTGAAGCTACGCATTCTAATTTTGCTATTCCATTCACTCCTATTTTTACATCTTGTGGTTTTGTTAGAAACACTGGCAATGCTGAATATAAGGAAGAATTGATGAGAGTTAATTAAAATTTTTAACAGCACAAAAGAGGAAAATTGATCGATCAATTAAATTTAATCTCTTGCGTGTCATCTTTCTTTCAACATGAACGTGAAACGTGAACTTCCCCCTAGATTATTTCATGGAAATAGAATAATTACGTCTGCCATTTTAAATGTTATAAACTAATTAGAAATCGATGAGTCTATTTTTCTTTTAACGATTGTTTACGCTTAAGGGTGGCATCCTTAAACAGAGAGTTGAAGTTTTATGAAATATCTTTGACATTAAATCAATTAAATATAACAAGAAAATTTACTAACTCTATAACTCAATGTGGGTGTCATTGGATCTGTAGAGTTATAAAATTATTATTTACGACTGTAAACTTTTATTAACATTTGATTAATTTTATTTCTTTCAATTTCTCTAAAGTTTTCTTTAAGTAAAATATTACAAAATTACGAATAAGAAATTTATAAATTTTATGTTATTAATATTAATACGATATTGAATTTCTTTACTTTCTTTCCCCTTTCTCTTCTTTTGATTAATGAATGAAGAATTTCAAAGGAAGCCCAAGTTTCTTCTGACATTTCGCTAACTTCTCATTTCAAAGGCTTTTCCGACGTCTTTAAAGAGAATGCAGAGACATACAACTGATCAAGATTAATCTACAAACTATTCGATTAGCGAGTAGCGATTTTCATGAAACGATAATAAATCGAGTTTGAGATGTTATTAATTTTAATTACAAGATTGTAGAGTTCAAAAGCACAGTTTTATAAGACTTTATTTATTAGTTGCTTTCGATTCATTGTCGTAAGGATCTTCTATCTTAAAGCGAAAGAATTTCCGAGATGGATAAGAAAAATTGCTATTTTATTGCTTGCTTTAACATTCAAATCAAGAGAAATTTCTCTCCAGAGAACCCATTACAACAACTGAAAGAATAATTTTTCTCATCATGAATCTTTGTTAAGAGAATGAAGAAGCAAAAGAAAAGAATTTGCTGCCACTGTATGCTTCACTATCTTAGATTATAATTGCGAAGTAATGAAGTATAAATAAATGAAACTTCTTTCGCAAACACTCACTGAAGTCAAGACTAAAGTGTTTGTTTGGTTTATGACCATTTAGGGTGCTATAACCATGTTTGAAACTGTAATCTAAATGAACTTTGAACTGTTTTATACTTAAATTGTTTTGATACAAAACTCCCAATTCGATTTTAAACTGCTGACCCCACAAAACACTAGTCAACCATCAACATTCATGACTGAAGAGTTCAAATAGCGAATTGAACATTTTATTATTCCAATACTCACAATTAACAACAAGTTGGGCCTTAGAGGTGATTTGGCCAACACTGTTTTGTGCTTCGCACACGTAGATTCCCTCGTCGCTGGGGACTACATTTTTTATGACCAAACTTTTATCTCCGTCCACAATTTCAGCTCTATATAGGAAAAAATAAAATAAAATACAAACAGGAAATAAATAAATAACGATCGGGACGTAAAAACAACATGATATTCAGGGTAAGCAAGCTACAGTTGTTGGACCCTCCTTACATTCACTTTTATTATGTTCCGAACGAAACCAACACCCCCTCAAGCACCCCACAACGGAAAGTTATTTAGTAATATCACTTACATCCCCTTTCTTGGACTATCGCTCCAGAAAGAAAAAGAAAAAAAGGTTTCGGCATCATGAAATCGATTAAGTTTTGGAAGATGCCAGAGAATGAATAATATTTGGCAATATTCTTCTAAAAGACGATTTGATGGTAGATAATTTTTCACAGAAGTCGAGGCAAGCAACACATAGACAACTTGAACTGAGCTGCTTGAATAGCATGAAATATTTAATTTATTACCTGCCAGTTGGTATGTTCCCATCATCCTTTCGCCAATGAATTTGAGGTGTGGGATCTCCGTCTACTGAACAGTAGAATTGCACAGTTTGTCCGGCCAAAATGCTTGCGTCAGATGGAACTTTCTTGAATGATGGCTTGACTAAAGAAGCGAAATAGATAAGATTATGTAAAGATTAATTTATATGCAAAAAGTTTCCTCAAAAAGCTACAATTTTCCGCTTGAATAATAATCATAATAATGGAATAGAAGTTGGATAATTCACCAACCAGTATGACTTTGTTCGCGACTATCTACGATTGTGATCAAAACGAAAGAAAAATTCATTAAAATGCTTTACTTTTCTTCCATGTTCAACATATTTAAAACATAATATAAAAGGCTGGAGGGACGGAATGTCTGCATCAAGTTAGCATAATTTTGCATTTCTGATGAATAAAAGTTGAACATTATAAAGAATGATTGTTTGAAATTACCTGGAAGTTGTTGAAAAATGTAAAATTCGTTCACAGTTTACTTTTCATACAAAAAAGTATAAGTAAAGGTGATGTTTTTCAGTTTTTTCTACATAATAATTAAATGAAGTGACGAAACAATCGAATAACGTCAAAGCATCAGGTACTATGTTGAGCAAGAGGAACTGTTTATATAAAAACATTTGTCGCTACCATCATGATGTTAATAATATTAAGTTTCGTATCATGAAAGGGTCAGAAATATTGAATTTCATCAAACAAAGATTCTTAAAAAGAACCGAGACAAGAAGCTTCATTTTCCTTGCGGCTTTAATAATTAAATTATACACTTTTAAAGATGATAAGAGAAAAATGTTTTGCATGTTTTTAATAAGAGGGGAGCATGAAAATGTCTCGTAATTTATTGTTGATAAAGATCTTTGAGTAACGTGAGCTGAATTTATTTCAGACAATTTTGCATTAAAAACCGTATGGTTTTTTGTTCAAAATGTTATCGGAAGATTATCAATGTTATGCTTTTGAGAAAAACATCTTAACTAAGTTAAGAACTTCGATTTCACTTCACACTCAATCTCGTGTTGCCTTTTTGACAGACTTTATCCTTAAAAGCTTTGAAAATCAATAAGAAAATGACAAGGTAATGGAAAGAGTGTTTGACTTTCACAACTGAATACGAATGAGATCATATTCTGGCATTTAGAGCTTTTATATTCTCATAAAATATCACTTTGAGAGCAACTCCATGAATGACTTCACTCTAGAAAATAACATCAAAGCAAGGATGGCAGAAATATATGCAAATTGTCGATTCATTTCTCTCTTTACTACGCCAGCATTTCTGCTTCGTTCAGCACATCAACGAGTAAAAACAAACTCTTCGAATCTGCTGAAAGGAAACAAAAGACTCGCTTCTGTTGATATCATATAATAGAATTTTCGTCTTAAGTTTTGATACATGAAAAGCCTTTCTTCTCCCTTTGCAGAAATGAAAACAGAAAGTTGGCTAATGCACGATATATACATCCTGGTGGTTGTGAAGTGGTAAGCTTCTTTAATGTAATGAAATATACGCTCCAACTTTGCCTTAGCAGAAGCTTCTCGCAAAAGAAAGAACAAAATTGTATTAAAACTTTTTCTTATCATTTTTTTTAGTTTCCTTCTGAACATATTACGATCAAGTTGAGCTATCAAATGGAACGACACATATATCTAAATGTATAAATGTAAAGCATTGATTTTGACATATATTTGCTCAATATGACTGATTGGGAAGGAAATCAGTAACATTTTATTTCTGCTAGTTATAAGATTCACTCACCCTTTCCCTAAATGAATCAACACAAATCAATCGAATATTAATCATCACAATTCCGACAATGTGCCATATAAAAATGTGTTGATGTTTATTAACCTAATAATAGACGTTAGTGGGGCGAGAGAATTATGTTTGTCGACAAGAATAAAACTTTTGATAATCAAGGAAATTGGAAACTTCGGATCTGCTTTATATCGTACTCATGATAATGGAAAAATATGCTCCATAAGCAAAATTCATTAAATCGATAAATTACCTCTGATATGACATGAAAAGGAATAACGTTTGCCGAGAAAAAAAAACGATAGATGGATGTTGGTGGTGGATATGCTACGAGAAGCGTAACGAAAGGGAAATGAATAAGCTAAACATCAATCTATGTATTTCCAGGCCATACATTCTCGTCATTCCGCAATCTTTCAATTTTTTTTTCTTTCTTCAACGAACACTTTCGAGTCTTTTTCTTTTGCGCTTCAAGGGGGAAATTTAAAAGTGTCGATGAAAATCATTTACTTATCAGTGAAAATGTTTTCGCCTTTCAATCAAAAATGAAGAAAAACATTTGACAATATTCATGAATCATCCCATGATATGACAGTAAAAATAAATGAAATGAATAGTAAGGGATTTTGATAAATATATGTACATATGTGTGTGTGTGTATGTGTGGTTGAAATGATCCAATGTAAATATATACTCACTTTGTAAGCAAAGCGAAATAGCTCTTCCTTAGACATTTCTTTTCTTTTATTTTCCCCCACTGAAGAGAATCAGAATAATTCTAAGATTGTAATTTTTATCGCAACGTAAATAAATTTCGAGATTAAATTTCAGCGCTGTATCAAATTTCAACCCCCAAAAAATTCTCCTCGAAATTTTCCACAATTTTGGGGGAGAAAAAGTTCATAAGCATTTCGTTACCATCGATACAAAACGCTTCACCCGTAAATTTCAAATTTTATCTCATACTTTGTTCTTGGTTTATTTTTATTGTATGAAAATCATTGCCAGAGTTGGAACTAAAATCGATGAAGCTCTTTCTCCATTCTACTTAATCTAATTTAAATTTTATAACGTCAAGTCTTTTTTCGAGCTATCTTAGCAAAAGTCGAAGTCGTAATTTTATTACTCGGAAGGAAGTGGTTGTTATGAAAAACTACGCTTTTAAAGCAATAAATTCCCGAATACAAGGCCTGTTTTTATCTATTATTTGCGATCACTAAAAACAACAGCAAGTCTTATTGTTTTTTTCCGCTTCGATTGCTTTCAATATAATTATTAGAATAAAAAAAAGAATTAAACTGTTTGGTGACATTAAACTTGCGATATTTCATGGATCATAAAGTGATCAACAATAGATTCGTAAACTGACACGTTTAGAGTGGTTAATGATTTAATTGAAATCATATGACATGAATAAGTGCTGCAGTAGCAGATAAATATCATCATTATTTAAACATTATTGAATTTATGTATATCAAAACAAAAATTTGATTCTATGTTATTCTGATAATTTGTGATGCCAACATGCGAGTGCTTTTTGTAATTCGACAACACGTTAAAATTAAAAGTGTTCATCAAAGTTTATTCCTGCAGACATCGTTGAATTATTGATTTATGTTCATGACTTTTTTATGTGTGTTCGCAATTTATGGTTGCAAATTTTACTCCCAACGCTTTTATTCTCCCTGAACTATGTTGTTAAAATTCTTCAATCTATCGTGCTTTGCGTCGTTGCATCAGTTGTGTTAGCTTTCATATTAAAATAAGATATAAAACATGGCATGCTGGTAAATATTAGAATACTTTCTAAAAAGTGTACGTCCCGCGAAATTTAATTAATGCATTCCATTGGAAATACGAATGTGTCAACATGAGTTGCAAAATGTATCGCCATGCACTCAGAACATTTCAAAAGTAATATCACTTCGAAGTGATAGCAGTCTAAGCTAAATAACAATATTGCAAATATATAAATCAAACCAGAAATGTCAAAATAAATTAAGCTTGCAATTTTTGATACTTATTACCATTTATTCATACGCTTTTCGTTGTGTACAATTTCTTTGTGAACATTCTACACATTCAGCAAAATTCTCCAAAATAAAATATCTACTTTGTTATATTTCTTTATTGTATAAAATTCCTGTATGATTTATGCTCATGTATGAATTTGTCTCCCCACTCATAAATCATTTTTAAATTGTTTGCATTTCTTTACGTTATCTCAGCGCTAGAGAGTGAGATGAACGAAAAGTTTAATGCATTTTCCTTTCCCAGGATTTTTTCATTGTTGTCTCTCTTGAAAGAAATTTTCTTTTTTTAAATTTCTTCACATTGACCATAGCTTAAGAAACATTTCTTTAAATCTAAATCATCTTTTATAGTAAGAAACAAATAAAAATTTCAAACGATCCTTTATAAATAATAATAATTTACAAACAAAACTAAGAATAATGTTTAATACAACATATATTTTATATAAAGTAACGTTTTGCCTCCGGTTACCGTTGTCTTAAAGTTTTCTTTTAATTAAATAATGTTAATAATGTGCAGCCATGTAATTGCACAATTTACTCAGCACCATTAAGAAAGCCTTTACCGAGTTGAAACCCGAGGCAAAATTCAAGAAATAAAATCATTTTACAACATGATCGACCGCTCTGTGATTTACAAAGAAAGTTTTAAAGGCAAATGTTTTAAATAAATAAGGTCTGTCTTTACAAAGCATGGACAAGGAATAGTTAAGTAAGTAATCAAGATCTTCGACAAAGTTTCACTTCATGGAATTGTAAACTTTTTTTCATAATTAATTGTTATGTTTAATTGCTTATCTTAAAACCGCGCTTTAAGCATCACAAAAAAAAGAAGAAAAGAAAAACTTAGACGCCAAACGATGACTGACAATTTTATTTTTTCCTTCCAAGCATTAAACTCGTCATGCTCTCAAGGTTTTGTAAACTTTCAAGTTTGGTTTTTATAGTTTCAGAGCAGTTCCGCGGTGAAAATGGGAACGAGAAGCGCAAAAAAAGAAATGTTCGATTTTTACAATCATCCATGATTTGAATTTAATGACCGTAAATCTTTTCTTAATTAAATGTTGTTACTTTTACAGCCTATTACTCATTTCTCTTTTTATTACAGCGTCATAACTGATTTATGGGATGTGCCTTAATAAACATCATTCCACTGTCTTTTTTTTGCTATAACTTTGTTCAAAGGTGTCTTGAGAAAAATTATATTGCAAAGGCAATTTACCTTGCACGGTTAATTTGGCTGGATCACTTTCTTTGGTGCCAATCATGTTTTGAGCTACACATTGGTATTTTCCTTCGTCGATTGTTTGCACATTTGTTATAAGCAAATTGCCACCATCTACAATGCGTAATCGATTATTCATCCGACCGCGAATATCATCTAAATCAATCGACACGCCATCCTGTGAAGGAATGAAATGAAATTTAATAAATTATCATCCTATAAGCTCAATTTGTCATCGTTGTCTTGCCTTTTTCCATTCTACTTTTGGTTCGGGATTTCCTTTTGGTGGTCCGCATTCTAAAAGAGCTGTCTCACCTGCCGCTACCCGCGTGTCTTTAGGTTGTACACGAAAGTCATCGCGAAGAACTGGAATAAAATTTGAACTCAAATTAATGATGCTTAAATATGATATTAAAGTGAAATAAAAGCAAATAAGAAATTGTTTGAGTTTTAATTGCTTGTAAATTCCACAATCACGTTGAATGAACGAGGTTTCTCTGTCAAATTATAATATCAAAATATCTACATAGTTTAGAGAGAAAAAAAATTAAACTAGCTATAAGCAGCTCCATGATTATCAAACTCAAATAAAGAAACTTTTGATAGATATATTTAAGTATGTAGTAGTCTTTGTTATTTAGTCGGTTTCTTCGAAGAGAAAATGAGAAATGGAAATCGATTAATCATTAGGTAAGCTCAAAACAAACTTAATGTTTTCAAACATATCTTTAGGCGATGACGCTATGAAGTCTCTACATTACTCTTGAGAATTGATTGAAGGTTCAAATTTTCTACGGGTAAGAGCGACGGAATAATTTTTGTATCGTGAAATTCATTGCAAAACAAGAATCAATAGAAAATTAACATTCATACAGCTTGTTAACTTGTTTTTGTCTATCCATCCATTTATTCATTCAGTCAACAATCTCTCATTTGAATATATTGCCTGAATGTCATAAAAAATTCAAATGTTATTATGCTTGTACACAATTTTATCACTAAAATTGTCCATAATTTTATGCAAATGAACCTTCACTGCTAACACATAAACCGTAGTTTCTTGTCGAAATTTTAAGTCACTCTTCTCAACCATCAGCTGACTAAAATAGAGCTGTTAAGCGTGGCATTACATCGTCAAAGGAAAAGTCCATTAATTTTGTTACCATCATGAAAGAATACTAAAAATTAGTTTGTTTTCTTTTGACGCTTATTATTAACACCGCCTAGAATGAATAACCGAAAAGTGTTTCACATTAATTCCGATGAAAATTTTTTTAATGTCAAACAGAGCATAACTCAAGATTAAATTTAATTCCTGCTTAATTTTTGGAATAATTAATTTGCTCAATTAATTTTAAGAAATTTCTCGTCTTAGTCGTCAATTCAATTAACATTTTAAAATCATTTATCTGAAAGTTTTTCTCAACATATTTAAGCACTTAACAGAACTGAGACATTTCTTTCTGTTGTTCGTTGTTTACATTGAATTATTTATTCTTCTATTTAATGTGAATGTGAAGTGAAATGAAAAATTGTACAAACTGTTGTTCAATGCTTTCAAGCGGCATTTACCAGCAATTTAGCCATCTAACAAATTGTAGCATGCATTGTAGAGTATAATTTTTATTTCACTGCTTAGTTTGCAAGCATAAATGAAGGTTTTTCTCTTTCATTTGGTTAACATGTGTCAGCAATTGCAAATAAATGATTTTTCGCCTTATACTGTATAACACAAATCCCGTGTTGTTTGCGCTTCTTAAAGCAACAGTGATTCGCATTTCAGTATTGTGTCCCACGCTAAATCTGAGAAATTGGAAATTTATGACCATACTTCAATTCGATGCCACTCTTTTCATTCTTTCAGCGTTTCTTCCAATTCTTTCTTAAACATTTATACACGCAATGCTCTATAGCATGCGCTTAATTATTTTTGATTCAGATATCGTAAGAATATATGCTTTTAGCTATACGATGAACAACGTTCGAATATTTATGCTTAGAGGTGAAGTATTTTTTTATTACTCGCCTCCGTTTTTGTGAATCTTCATCCCAAAAAAAAACAACTTTTACATCTTCAAATTTATCTGATAAAAGTTCGAGAAAATGTTTGTTATGTCTGAAGAATTTAATATATAAAGCTATCATAAAAATATGTTTTATGGATTTCCTGGATATGTGACGTGGAAAATTATATGACGCTTTTAATAGAGAAGCAACCATAAAACTGATAACTGTTGCGCCGTAAAACAAATGTCAATGAAAGGATTCAACACAACATTCAGCGATGTTTTATTTTACTCAAGTGCCTGCCAACAATGCTATACAAATCTAAAAGGTAGCTTTATGGCAATCGCAAGTATTTTTTGTGAAAAGGTGAAACGATTGGCACAATAAATTTCATCTTTCTGATGGCGATAAAAGTCTGTGGAATTTATCATGAAGATGTGAAGAGTTCAAGAGCCTTTCTTACCTGCTATTTGAAGGGTGGCATTGCGACTAAAACTTTTTCCAGCGGAATTTTTGGCTACACACCAATATACTCCTCCGTCTTGTTCTTTCTTTCCATGTACAGTTCGAAAGAAAAATAAGGAACCGGATGGCAGCAAGACTCGATGCGATTTATTTTCATTTGAACTGATTTTGACAGGTTCACCATCTTTAAACCACTCTATGACTGGTTCTGGTTTCCCTTCGGCCTTACAGTTGAGTGTAACTGGTTCATTTTTGGCGACTAGAATATCACTTGGATGTTCTGTTATTCTCGGTGATCGATATTGTGCTGAAAAGGGAAGAACAAAACAATATTTTTATTAAAAGTGAACTCATTGTGAAGTCTGCATTATATTTTGATGTCAATCTGTTTCATGTTCTATTAAGATACAGTTTATGTCATAATTTACAATTTCAGCAGTTTGTATCTAAAAATAACAAACTCAACATATGTTCAATTCGTCACAAAGAAGGGCAAAACGCGCACATTTTATACTTTCTGTCGTCTTTCGGTAGGTGATGACAATTAGATTTGCATTTCAAAAACACGTGCCCCGGATACAGACTGTTTCTCTTTACTTCTCTACTTCTTTAGAGCGCCGACACTTACGAGACGACGGCGCAAGTCTAGTTTTAAGAAAAGTTGACAGTTTATTACAGTGAGCAGAAAAATAAAATGTATAAACTGACAATCTGTCAATGATTAAGTCTTTTACCATTTTAATCAATTTTTGCGACACGAAAAACATTCCATGAAGGTGGAGACGAATGCAAAATGTGTCTGTGTGGCGACAAAAGAATCAAGCGAAGGAGGTTCGGCTCATTAATTCACATTTTCTTTCATATCTTTAATCAACAACAACGAAAAAAAAAACTGTTTTGCATGATACATAAATTCATGTGTAGGTCGATTTGGAAAAGAAGGCCCATTAGTCGCGTCTCATGATGTAGTATTTTTGAGAGCATTGAAAACCGACTGCACCACTAATAATAAATATATAAATTACATTTACAAAGAGTTGTATCAAGTTCACAACCAGTTTTAGTAACATCCAATGTTTTATCGTTCCGCATTTCAACGATTCCTCGCCTTCAAACGCAAAATGAAAATGATAAACAAGAAAATGTTTCTTCTTCAACTCTTTCGGCTTTTTACACTCGACTGGAGGTAAATATTATTCAGTAAGAAGATAAATTTGCAAAACTACCTAGCGCCACACTTTAAATAATTTTATTGTGTTCATTTTATTTCGTTTGTTAAAACACCTACATTTCATCATCATGATAAATATCCATTCAAACGATTAAAGGAACTCAAGTAAAATTAACATTCAAAGCAAAGTAAAGCAAAAAAAGCCATGAAAAGTCTAGATATGCATTATTATTATTATAGACAGATTATTTATTAATATTACATGGTTTATAGCTTTAGAAAAAATAAATCATAGCTCAAACATGTTGTCGAAACGAATTTATATGCGTGTTCAATTTAACGTCTTAAGACGATTTTCATGAAAAGAATTACTGCTTGAATGGACTGTAGTCGTTATTCAAATATTTATTCAAGTAGATAGTGAGACGGGTAGGTAAAAATATATCATTAAACATAAATAGTCGCACACAATATTCTCGACGATATGAATAATGTATAATCTGATTCCATTTCTCTCCTATTCTTACTCGTATAATGTATTGATCAACGAAGCATGCAAGCATGAAAACATTGATTAAACATAAAAAATACTTTAATATACGAAGGCCAAATAAAGCAACTTCTCAACTTTTAGTTTCGTTCTTCACTCTTTTAAACTTTTATTTTTATTATATTTATCTATTTCTTCTTCTCTATCCATTGCTATTGACTCTCATCATCAATTACTGCCACTTCCTTTTCTGTTCGCTTAAATTTCCATTGCAATGTTAATTAAGCTATTTACAGTTGAATAGTTCAACATAAGTAAAATGGGTGAGCAACGTTTGAGAAACCGTTTCAATTATTCTGTTGATCAACAACATCAGATAAAAGACCCATAAGTGGCCGGAAAGAGAAGAAGAAGAGAAAAAAATCCTCACTTTGGATTCCATAATACTCAATTGTTCAAATGTGTAAAAGAAAAGAATGCTAAATGGTAATTGAATGAGTTAATAAACACCCACGCCATCGATTTCAACACCGATGATAGATTTTTATATGAAAATGAAAAAATTATGTAGTAGATTGAGTATGTCAAAATGGGTGAACTGTTATCAAGTCATTTCAAGAAGCAGGTGTTAATTTTCTCGATTTATGCTATGCAAACTTCATGTTCAAACAAATTAATAATATAATGTGGCCCAAGTAGCAACAACAACAGTAGTTTTACCGATAATATTTCCCTATAATTTTTTTTCGCAATTTCGATTCTACCAACACGAATCTACCTACATACAAAACCTTTTGCTGCAGCTGAAAAATCTAATTTGAATTCATTGAGTTTGCATGATGATGTGACATAAAGAACGACGTGGTTAGGAAGGAGAATACAATGAACAAGAATTTCATTAATAACTCCCAACAGAAATAACGAGAAATACGTTCACCCATCACCTGCAGGTACAATTAAATTTTACGTTCTCTCGAGATTTGCTATAGCGATAAAGTTTTAATTTCTAATGCAATTAAACGAATTATTTTCATTCATTTTCCATATTGAACAACATATGACTGTTGAAATATTTCATTGTTAAAGCATTTGATATGAAATTGTACACAGACGCTTTTCATAACTATTTTAAAATTCCATCATAAAATTATTCTTCGATTTGTGCCTTGTAACAAACTTGGAATTTCATCTCAATGCTTGTAAATGCATGAAATCAATCAGATGACTTCAAAGCCATCACCTTTTAAAATCAGCATTTCTAATTTTTCCGACATTTATTGTGTTTGTCTCAAGACTTAGCAGTCAGCAAACGAGTTAAAATATCTCAGATGACGAGACTTTAACATTGATAAACAGCAGAAATGTAAAATTCGTCATAACCACAATTATTGAGTTAAATTAGATAAACGTTCATTGTGGTGAAGTCAAACTTTCTTTAAAACCATTTATTTATTACTTTGAATTTGATTTATCGTGAAATGATATCGAATAAGTATCAATCATTCAAATTATTACCTCTTTTATTGATCGATTAAAACAACAATTGAAATTATTTCTGAAATGAGTTAAAATCACAAAAGGTGGAACTAGTTTAAGTTTTGATTTGAAACTAAGAGAAAGTCTCTCTGATTGAGACAACAAAAGATTTTCTGCTAAATTTTAAGGATATTCAAATGTCAAAGATAAGTTTAATTAATTAATTCATGATAATTTCAACCCAGCATATTATTAGATTAACTTTATAAAAGTCATAGCAGGTTAAGCTGCTGTGTCAAGACAAAAAGTAGAAACAAAAAGTTTCACATTTGCCAAGTGATTCTGTACATGAATTGTACAAAACTTACACTGTAACTGTGCAAGTGAAAAGTTTCTTTTTCAATTTCTGTAAGAAGAAATTTGAATTTAATAAACATAAATAAAATAAAATTGTTCGTGTGCACATCGGTGACACAAAACTTTTATTTGAAGATGAAGGCGGAAGTGGATGCAGTTGATTTAGGTTTGTAAATGTTTAGTCAAGAAGTTTCCTTCGTAAATGTCATCATAACGTGAATATTTTATTCAGTTATTAATGTCTTTACATAATGTAAGAATAATTTTGATTTACAGATATAAAAACGAATCAGATTGAAAATGTCGTGGATTTTGATGAAGCTCTTTCGAAACTTGGTAACATTTCAAATCTAAAATTAATTTCTTTGAACTTTTCACATATCTTTCTAGGTTTTGGAAGATTTAATTATCTCATCATTTTAGTGTCAGGAATCATCATAACTGCAACGTCATTCGAGACGCTTGGCAAGCAAAATGAAATTCATTCGTGACGGTTTGTGACATTTTTTTATTTTTGAATCATTTACAGGCATAAGTTTTGTATTCCCGGTGGCTGAATGTGATTTACGTCTCACAACGCAACACAAAGGTATAATATCTAGCATATCATCAATTGGAATAATAGTTAGCTCGCATATGTGGGGATTTCTTGCGGACACCAAGGGACGAAAAAATGTTATCATACCAACTCTTGTATTATCTTTCATCGCAAGTTTATTGTCAAGTTTATCGACAAACTTTACGCTGTTGGTCGTTTTTCGTTTTTTCAGTGGGTTTTTGTAAGTGTCTCCGAATAAGAGAATAATTGAATTTTATTACTGAATCTAACTTTAATGATATTTTAATATAGCGTTGCTGGATCGTCAGCGACAATTTATGCATATTTAGGCGAGTTCCACAGCTCAAAAAACCGTTCAATGGTTTTAATGGGCGCTTCGTTTATTTATGGAGTCGCTTGTAACTATATGCCAATCCTAGGATTTCTCGTACTTAACAGAACATTCCATTATCGTATTCCTATTTTGAATATTGACTTCAAACCATGGAGATTTTATTTGCTGTCATGCGGTCTACCGAGTTTACTCTGTGCAATTGTTTTACTTTTCCTGCCAGAAAGTCCAAAGTTTATCTTCTCAAAGGTAAGAAATTGTTACCACAAGCTGTCATATGGAAATGTCTGAATATTTCAGGGTGACGAAGAAGAAACTTTGAACATTCTTAAGCGCATCTACAAAATCAACAACCCCAAAAGCACATCAGACTATAATGTCACGAGAGTCGTTGAAGATTTGGAATTTATCGAAAATGACTCGAAAGAAATAAGAAATGTCTCGAAGAATCCTTTTATGATGTTGTGGAATCAAACGAGTCTTTTATTCTCGAAGAACAACATCAAGAAGACTGTTCTTATTTGTCTGATGCAGGTATCTATTAAAGATGTGCACATAAAAAGCACTCGAAACAACTTGAAATATTTAAGTATATCTTGTCATTTGATTTCTCTTCAGTGTATGCTCTTCGGTTCCTGCCATGGTCTCTACATGTTCTTCCCTGAAATTGTTGACAAAATTACGTCCTATTCAAATCAATTTCCTTCCGAACGGGCAACAATATGTGAAGTTCTTTTAATTGAAAACGAATTGACGTTGAATGTCACTAAATATGCTGTAGCATTGAAAAATGTTCAGGCATGCTCAGAAATATTTGAAGTATCAACATTTGGTCATTCACTCGTCATGGAACTTCTCTACATGTTTGGATTTCTCATTATAACTTTTATCATAAACCGCATCAGCAAACTCACCATCTTGACTATGATTTCGTTTGGTTGCGGTGGTTTTGGCTTTGCCACACAAATTGTGACACTTCCGATTCTCTCGATATATTTTTATGTTTTATTCATGCTCACATTTCTTGCTGTGAATGTCATTAATGCCACTACCATCGACCTATTCCCAACAAATTTACGGTAAGAGAGATTGAATTTTCTTTCTAATTGCTATACTTTAGATCTACCATGGAGACACATTATTTATGCAACTCGTAAAATGATTTTAAACATTTGAAATCTGACATATTTTTTTCTAGTGGAATGGCAATTAACCTCGCAATGATGTTCGGTCGTATTGGATCGGTACTAGGAACGAACATGGTTGGCACAATGCTTGATCAATATTGCAAATCAACATTTGCTTTGTCAGCGGGACTGATGGTATTGAGTGGTGTTCTTGCATTCTTTATTCCAAAGATTCGACGAATAGATGGACGAAAAAATACAAATTAATGTGTTTAATATTTCTAAACGGTTATTAACATCTTATTTCTACCATCTCATCGTAACAACAAAAAATTGTATAAATTGCTGAATATGATTGAAATATACAAGTGTTTACGCACCCATTTATGGATTTCAGATGTTGTTTACACGATGAATGCAGAGTTAATTGAGTCTGCCATTGACCCCACGAAACATCAAAAATGATTTTTTTAATAAATCAACAGCATAAATGTACGACGCATATGCAGAGAAAAAAGATATTCATCAGTCAGCCAGCCGGCAACAAAGCAGCAACTATTGTGTTCTGCTTCTTCTCTTTTCATTTTTTATTTCTACCCGCTGTCTCATGTTAACAATACAGGGAAATCGAATGCCCGCGAGCATCGCTCAATACTTGAGAACAACGAAAGGAAAAAAAGAAATTTCCGAAATGCATTTCAAAGCGACAGTTCCGAGATTTTTTATTTAGCTATAATTTAGAAGGGGAACATTCATGAGTTTTGTAATTTAATATCATGCTATCGAACTCGTAACAATATTGAGAGAACGATGAAATTGTTTCTCAAACAAAGCAACTGTTTTAAGGGTTTAACGTTATGGTTACCAAATGTTTACAACTATCGATTTTCGAGAAAAACTGCACAAAATATGAATGATTGCAATCGTTTTCTTTTCACTCACTTTTCTTTCTTCTTTATATTCATAACGTGAAGAATTTAATGATGGCGTGCGTCAAATTAAATATCAAATTTTACCTTTTTACTGTCGTTTTGCAAAAAAAAAAAATAGAGAACGGTTTTTATTCATGCAATAACTAACGATGCAGAAACTTATTGGGGGGCTTCGTTTTATTTTTATACCGAAAAAGGAATACAAGACGACGTTCAGGTACATACATAAATACAACACTGCTTTATGTTGCTAACGAATTGAGGAACGGATAAAATTCACCCTCACATTAAATTTTAATAATGTGTTTTTTATGTTTTAATATTTTTTATAGAGAGAATTATTTTGATAAGGTGTGCTGTCGAGTTAGTTCTAAATGTCATTCGTGCATAGTATCAACCCCACCATGATTTTTCAGGTCAGTTTACAACTTCTACTACAACACTCAATGACATTTAAACATAAAATTTATCTCGGAATTTCTCTTGGAGAGTTCCCAAAAAATGGTTTTTCTTATCACAACAAGATAGAGGAAACTTTGACAATGTTTGAAAATGTTGGAATGAATTTGTATGATTTCACACTTCAAATAAACAAACTTCAACTAAACTCAACAAAAAAAGTGATGTTTACAGAATTAAACACGCACGAAACACCGCCTTCAATTAGACTTTATCGCTGTAGTGCTGTGTAATTAATTTACAAAAGAACAAGCTGCTCTTATCGTGAAAAATAATTGAACGGTTTCTCATTCTTCGAAAATTCTTTACGCACCAAAGAGAAATAATTTGCATTTAAATTGCCGAAAAGTAACATGAAAGCTTCAACATCAACTGTTTGTCGTTTATTAAGTTCAGAAGCTTTAGAAGTAATATCATGTTTGAATTCAATTAATTACGTATGCTTTGTAACTTAAGTATGAAAAGCGCGAAAATTGAAATCACTTTTCAGTACATTTCATTTTTTGTATAGAACTCAACACCGTGATATCATGTAACAACTTCAGAGTACCTGCTTTGTTTTTCTCTCCTGCTTTTTCATTTATACATGTTAAATATGCGCCTTTTGTTTCCTTCTTCCTTGCTGATAACGTAACAGTTTGTTGTTTTCCTTTCTTTCATATTTTCCCCGTCTCTACATATTTTTCCCGTCAAAAGAAGCTACGTTAAAGAAAATAAAATCTCGAAACTCAACATGAAATGAAAGAGGCAAAAGAAATTTACATAACTTTTACCAAGCGTCATATTTCTAGAACATTGCTTGTTAACTTCAAATAAACACATACTTATTTATTTCTTTCTGATACAAGGGATGAAAGAAAAATTGCAAACATGAAAGATATTGATAACAAATATGTATGTTTCGCTTTTCCCTTTCTCTATTCTCTAATAAAAATTCAGAATGCTTATAAAAAGTGTTATGAAGCTTAAGGCTGACTAGATTTCCTTCATCTTAAAGCTTCGTTATCAAGTTTCACGTTTATTTTCCAATCAAATCTACCAGCTTATACTTATACTTTACAAACAACTTCTCAAAATCTTTTTTCAGCCTTTCAGAAATGTTTCTAGGGTGACAAAGAGCCAAACCTTTTTTTACTCGTTTGACTCCATCAAAACTCGTAGCATTTGTAACGACAGCTCGTTGAGCTTTTAAAGTTTATGTAGCAAAAAAGAAATATTTGAAGGGGAAAATCATTTCTCGTTTTAATATGTTGGCTAAGAGTGTCAATGCTTACATTAATTCTCTTTCTTTCTGCTTTGCCCTCAACTACTTTCAACTCATTACTCACGGAATTGTTTTGTTATGTTTTTCTTTTTCTTGTTTATTTTAGTTTTTTTTTTAATGTTTTCCATACAACATAAATATTTATATGTCAAACATCACCAAGCGTTCTCATATTTGGTTAAAGAATTATTAGGCTTGTTTCTGACTTTAATAATGCAACGCTACTACGAATACATGAATGAACATAATAACAATATTGTTGGATTGGGCGGTGTGGCTAATGGTCCGCGAATCTATAATTAGCAAATTTATATTCACGGCACAGTTGTTTTTCAATAGAATTCATTACTTTTAGGGACGTCTTTTTTAAAAACAGCTGAAGTAAACGAACAAAATACTTTAACTTAATGGATCAACTTGAGAAATTTTCTTTGTTGAGAAATGCTTTCAACACTAAAAAATAAAACAAATTGCCTGAGAAATATTTATCAAAGCTAAACCGCACCGGATAGTCGATTGTCTGTAATTTCATTTCAAATTAAAGTTGTCACTCAAATTTTAATGCGACGCAATGTTGACACTATAAATATTAAATATGTGACTGTGCGATGTGGACATTCATAAACTCAAACATTGTCAGCACTTATTTGTATTATTTTTCTCTTACTCTCGATCCTCTCTCATCATCACCATCCAAGTATCTTAGCGTCCGCACAAGATGATGATGATTTTAAGTGTTAATAAAATATTATTTGAACAAATTTCCTATTTGAAATGTTCAAAGAAAGATATGAGAGCAGAAGACTGAATGGGTAAATACATGAAAGGAAAGGAAAACATGGAGAAGTCGACAGTTCAATAGCATTAACACATAAACAAGCTCAAAATCCATTCCTCCGTTTATATTCAATTTATGAAACAACAATCTAATGGCATAAAACAATAAATCGTATATTTTCAGCTGAATAAAATCTTGCTGGTAAAATAAATATCAGTTATTTACATATTTTCTTTTAGAGTATCCATTAAATTATTACAAAAATCGAGAATGAATACAACGAAAGAAGTTTGTAAATGAAAACTTTTGTATGCACAAAACACAACAAAGTTTGTTCATATCTTATAGATTTGAATGCATAAACGGGAAAAGATTCACTTTATTCAAAAAATAAGCATGAGAAGAAAGAGAAAAAGATTCTCTGACTATAAATAGGTATCGCGATTGAAATGTAATCTAAATATAGCTTGAAGATATTGAACTTTATGTCAGTGAAACATTTTCCCATATTTTTTGAATCTTTAAAAAGCAATTCAACATAAATGTATTCAGCTCGCAGCTTGCTATCAAATATTTCAAAGTTTCAAAATAAAAAAAGAGAATCTTTGATAAAAGTCACAGCATTTTCATTTCAAACTGATTTGAATAAAGTTTCGTAATTGTTGTTTTTATTAACTTAACTGAGCGTGATAAATGTAGACAATGAACTTGTAGAAATCGAAACAATTGAATCAGAAGGAGAAAATTGTTATTAAATAGTTAAACGCTCAATGTGTACTTGAAATAGGGGCATCTGGGAGTCAATGAATTATTTGTTGTTAAGAACTGATGATGAATGTGCGCAACTCAAGCTTGAAAAATCATTTTTCATTGTGTCAGTTTAAAGCAAGCTCATTAATCTTTCACTTTAAAATTAAGTAGTTAAATTAATTCATAACGCATGTCATGTCGCAAATGTGAAATTATCGCCAATGTTAGAATTTTAACCTCATGTGCGTTTCCCTAAAAGATAATCCCTTTAATTGGTGTACATTTTGCAGATAAATTGCATGCGTCTGGGATATTAAAATCGTTACATCTCTATTTGCCGGAGATTATAATGTGAAATGTGTACGATGAACAATTTTGCTGCTCTATTTGGTATGATGAAGGATGGAAAATGGGAAAAAATCATTGCTGAGGGCGGTATAAATCCTGTCTAAAGAAAATTATCGAACGCACAAATAAACAAATACACGACATAACAAAAATGGAAAACCCTCTTTGTTTACCGACTGGATTGGGAATTTTCATTATTTTTCTTGTTGTTGTGACAACAGCAGCAGAACATACAAAGAATTTAACAATAAAAACGACAAATTGGAGGTGGAATAATTTCGAGAACGTGGTTCACAGTATGAACATCATTAATGAAATACTACGTACCGTAGAAAATGTTAGGGAAGCGCGACAGTTCGACTGGTAAAGGAAATGAGACCAGGAACTAGTAGGAAATCTCTTTTAGGTTTATGCAACGTGCGTACATAAAACACAAATGATCATAAAAATTATTTTTACTATTTATGGTTTCTGATTTAAATGAAAATTAATATCAGATGTAAGAGAGCGACACTGAGAGCGTGAACACGTTCCCCACAGTCTTTTTACACACAATGAACAATTAACGCATGTGCGTTTGTCGTCATCTGATGATGAAAGCAATAATTTAGTTCCGGGTTCTCCTTCAAGGCAACCTCCGTTTCCCGGGGTGAAAAAGCAATTTACGTAGAAAGCGAAAGCGAAAGGGTAACATTTTGAATTTACAGTTATTGCTTTCCGCCCTTATCTTCAATGTTTCTTTTTCTGAAATATATCAAGTTTTAGGTTTTTCAGCTTCAAGAAATAGCAGAAAATATCAGAAAAGAAAAATAATGAAACGACACCAGAAGACGAAGGTATTTGAAGAAAAATCAAATTCTCATTATGCAAAACTTTTCCTTGTAAGCGAAAGATGATTGCAAGAAGAAGATCTTCAATAATAATTATGTGGAGAAGCAATTTGTATTAAAGGGAAAATGAATTTATCATGAACAAACGTCTCTCGTCTACACACTGCTTATGAATTAACCATGTCAAAATGTCGTGAAACTGCAATAAACGTTGAGTTCCCCTTTGAGATAGAAAAGGAAAAAAAAGTTATTTCTTTTCTCCCTTAAAGTAATTTACCTGCACACTGCTATCGACTCATAGAAAATCTAGCTGACTAAAGTTTATACCTATGGAAGTTTGTCATGTTGCTTAAGCATTTTATGTCTTTCCATCAATATCGCTACTGTAATAAACTACAAATACTTTCATTTCTCTTCCGTAGAAGAAGCCGATTTGAAGGGAAATCCACTCTTGAGCTTTAAATACGTTATTATTTCTTTTCCTCGTATCAGGAGAGAATTTTCTTAAACACACGAAATCCCTGGCGTGTAATAAAAAGTAAGCATAAGATGAGAGACGAGCAGAGGAAAATTCAATGAATTACTATTGAAGAATATTTTCTTCACGTTTTCTCTAGACATTTCTCTTATTTTTCATCTTGTTTCTAATTTCTTAGCAGCACCCTCACTGTTGGCATGTAATGGAATAGAAGAATTGTAAATCCAAATAAAAACCATTTAGCAATAACTACCCAAGCAGGAAATGTGAAAGAAACAAAAAGAAAAACCTTTTTTTGTTCATTTTCCTTCATTACATTTCTTTATTTTTCCATTTTTACAATCAGAATATTTTGTATTATCGGTGGAGGCGATCACTCCCCAAAAATATATTTTTTTACGACAAAATCTCTTATCGTTTGAATGTCGTCCCTGTTTGGAAATGAAACAGATAAAAAAATGTGCCGATGGCAATGTTTTTGTTTCTTTGGGAGTTGTTTCCTTGTCATAAGTTTGAGTCATCAAATTTTCGTTGGAATTAAACGCCAGGATATCTTAACGATAATTCATTCTTTTAATTAAATTGAAAGCATTCTAATTGATGGTCAAGGTTTGTTATAGCGCCCGCGTTAATGGCATCAACGAAACAATAGAATTTTTTTTTAATTCGTCATCGTAAATAATATTTTAGTCACACATCACGCTGTAATCCCATAAAATAAAAATAAAAATAAAATAAGCTTTCTGTTTCTAACGATGTCCTGATGAACAAAGATGACACACGCGTATTCAAACATAGAGTGACCGCCATAAACTTTAACAAAAAATTTAAGAGCTCCATATAATGATGACATAAAGCAATAAATGAATTAAACATTAGACAAACTGAAAAGGGCCCTAGGAAAAAAACGGCAAAATTGTGACTGTCATGGGCATGTGAAGGGTCATAGAATAAATAAAGAACAGACATTCTCAAGAACAACTGATGAATGATTTTGTTAAGTTCTTCGTTATTTTTTATGTTCGTCAAAAGTCACTACGTGCCTTACATTTTCCTATTTTTCGATTCAATGCAAGTCAATGTTATGAGAACTCGTGCGGGTTCAAGCTACAGATCTGTAAAGACATTCTCTGACTTCACGTAAAGACTGTTCATGAAGCTTTTTGACAAAAGTATTGAAATAATGTCTTCTGCCATCACACGGAGAGACAAAAGATATTCTTTAGAATGATTGATGACCTTTTTGCCCGTTATTTTGTAAGCTCAACATTGTCCCGATTGACTGCTTTTGCTTTCTCATTCGTTGCTTTTGACTAATTGACATTGCTGCAGAGCAGAAGTTTTCGCATTAAAATAATGAAATAATTTTCTTTTATAAACATACTTTAATAATGGAACTGAGAAAACTCAATTTTGCAAACGCAATAAAAATTAATGTCATGAAGTATCTCGAGGCGATGAGATGAGATGCAATGCAGTAATCATCATGTTATATCATCGGATACATTTTATTTATATTTCTCGTATTTGTGCATTGTATTTTATGAAAAAGAATAATAAAAAGTTTTAATTCAATTAGGTCTCATATGCCACTTAGAGAATCGTGCAAATGATTTACATGGTTTTAATGATAACATTGTGTGGATACTTTTTGTAATGAATTTATAACGTATGCGTTTTCATAAAAAAAATTCGGTTTAAGACTCATTGAGTATTCTTCATTTCATAAATTGGCTTTTCAGTTTCGCCGAATGCCTCACACACTCAAATTCTTCCCGCATTGTAAATTTATGAAACATAAAAAGTTCAAACGGCTGAATAAAATCTTCAGAATATTGTTTACGATTATCGAGGAATAACACTTACCATATGAGCATAAAAATAAATTAATCCAAATAACAGCATAAGCGAACGATATCACGCTTCTTCCCATGATATTTTATTGCATGAGAATCTCCAACCGCTATTCTTTATTTTTTTAGACTAGAACCTTATGAACAGTCATTATTCATTCTTCTTTTCTTTCACAAATTTCTTTCATTTATTTTTTTCTTTGATTTTCACAAATTTTCTCACCACAAACATTTTACATGGCGTCTTGTTTTCCCATCACTTTTCACTATCTTCAAAACGGAATCACACAATTACACAATCAATCTTTCTTCTTTTTTTATTTCAAATATTTTATCTCTTTCAGATCAAAACTTTTCGACGATCCAAATGTTGTCACATTCTGAAACGAGAAGAAGAAAAAAGCATAAAAAATTTACATCTAAAATCTGATACAATTTGTGATTTGAAAGATAGAAGAGAGAAAAACGAGACCACATAGTTGAATGCTATAATTTTCATAAAAGGCTTCATTGAATTCATAAAAAAATAAACGAGAGATGAAGATGTTAAATAAATTATGTAAGCCCACTGCATATAAATTAAAAATTTATATTTCAGTTGATTTCAATGATCATAGCGAGATAAATTTTCCAACTTGAACTCATGAATAAAATTTTCAATTTAACTTTTCTCCCGAAATTTTATCTACACAGAATCGTGTTTCGAGGGAGACTCTTGTCACACTGCAGATGCACCAGATCAATAAATTTGCTGTTATTAGTGTTGCGTTGGCTACGTAGTCGTTTCGTTCAAATAAAAATTGGATATTTCATAAAAATATAGTCCCAAGCATCATCGTAAAGTAATATACCGCACATATTCTTCTACGTTATGGTCTAGAAGCACTAAAAACAATATTTTAACGGCTCATGCTGTTTGCTGTTGTGAAATGTAGCCAATCCATAAAAAGAAGCATAAAGAATAAGAATTCGGAATTCGAGAACGTATAAAAGTCATTTTACTAAAGGCAAGAAATATTAATGTCGAGTTCATTGCAAGGAATTGTTTTCTTTGTGAGACAATAAAAGAAATTCACTTTTATCTAAACAAATCAGTAATATTTGGTTTTGACTTTTGATAAAGCTATGTATTCTTATTTACATTACTTCTTTTGAATATCAAAGAAAAATAATCCATAAAATGATTTTTTATTTCCATTCTTGGAGAATGGTGAACCAACCATAATTTTTTTTCTTCAAAACAATTCCTTTTGAATCTTCTTAACATGTATGCTGATCTGCAACAGAAATTTCAAATTTCCCTTTTAAATCTTTTTTTTCATGTTTTCATGAAAAATCCAAAAATAGAGGCTAAAACATACAAAACTCTCAGAATAAATGTTTATTTATGGTCGTTTTTCGTATCGGTTATCTTTCTTTCACTTCTGTCGATTATAAAAGTTTGCTATGCAGGCCAAACAATGGAAAAACATTCTCATTCTTATGCACTTCACCAGCTATGCTTTCCACTTTTAACATACATAAATTAATGTTAAGGACAGAGAAGAAAATATTTATCAGATTGAAGAAAAAAAAAGCTTTCTAGTCGAGTAGCGCTTTCTTTCTGCTACAATTTTGTTAAGTGCTAATTATTTAAATTTCGAACAAGAAACCCAATGTTGTGAAGAAGAAGTTTGAAAAAGTTTTTTATTGTGCCGATCGAGGGTCAAGAAAGCAACGCATTTAAGTGAGAAAAGATATCATGACTTGTTTAAGCAAAAACCATATTTCTTTAGGCCATCATCACAATTCGAAAACAAAGTTAAAGAATGAAATAAATTTTTTGCTGCTCAGATTTCCTTATATGCTTTACTGAGAATCTTTAATTATATTTCGAATTGAAAAGCAAGCAATTTCAATAAAAAAAGAAAACAGTCTCAATGAATATCTTTGATTTCTCCCGGTTTTTGTTTATTTAAAAGAACTTCGATGATAAAATCTTTGCATTGAAAAACAGCAGCAAATTGTATTGAAAGAGTCGAGCACGAGTTGAGAAGAAATAAATGCAACTGAAATTTTATACGTAATTAAACAAAAAAGGAAGGAAAACAAAACAAAACCAATATCTGTGTAAAGAACATGATTTATTAAATTGATCGAACAACACCGATCGATCATATAAGCATAGTGAGGAACTTCAGAAAATTGAACGAATGATAAATTGATTTTTTCTTCTTGCCAATTTTCAAGTGATTTCATTTATTCAGCTGCATACTTAGTGCCAAAAAAGAGAGAGAATCATAATTCAATCCAATGCATCTGTAAAATGTCGAAAACCGAATAAATGAATTTATTCAAATACTCTAGAACAGTTGTCTGCATGCCAGATTCATCGTTGATACGTATTTTTATTTTCTTCTTTCTTCCTTTATTTATTGAAACTTAAGAAGACTAATCTACATTAAGATCTCAGAAAGGCAAGCTGTAAAACATTTGTCGATGTCAAAAGTTAAACATATCAGAGAGAAAAAGGCTAATTTGGTAACAAATTGATTCTCTCTAACACTCAGAGTGATTTTTCAGACAAATCAAACAAAGTCAAGACAATTTTTTTGTGTGAGCGGGGGAAGAGAAAGATTCATCATCAAGCATTTCCTAAACAAATATCATGAGTTGATGGGAGTTGTTGTTCTTAAAGTAAATAAAGGATCGACGACTTTGTTCTGATAAAATGAACAGGCAAAAAAATGTTGCTTAGAATTGTTCTATTGTCCCAATTTTTTTCTTTATTTATGTTTAGACTTTTGCCACCACACATGAAGTAAATGCATAATGTAATGTCTCGTAATGAATCCGCACTCATTTCTGATGAAATGCAAGCCATAACGGATACGTCTCATTAAAAGTAATCCAATTCTCTGTGTAATTTAAAATTTTCTCTTAATTGAAAGAACAATCAGAAATGAAAAATTCACGCAGAGATAATGGAATGGAAATATACGCTCAATTAAACGAAAGGGCTTGTCACAAATGTTTTTAAACATGCAGCGGCGGTGCGCTGGTGATATTTTATCAAAGTAGCCGTCTAAGTCTTTGTTTGTTCAACAGTTTCCGCTAAAGACATTTTAAAAAGCATTTGATTTTTGTCTGCATAACAGCAACACACTCTTACATATAAGGTCTGGTGGAGTCTCTTCAATAATGAACAACATGTGTTTAGTGTCAACTGTCACGCCCCTATAATGTCATAATTCTCAAAAATATTTTTGCCTTCTTTTCGATTCATTTGTTAAAAGCGATTACATGGAACAATAAAGTTTCATGAAAACACTTTAATTCTTATTCGACAAAGACGGCATGAAATACGAGATATTTGACTGTAATATTTCACAATGGAAGCAAGCGAATGAAATCTCATATGATTGACATTCATGAAATCAATTCTGAATATTTTTTATACATTTTATTTTTGTAATTTTAAACCATGAAACAGTAGAATACATAGCACCTCGCAATGGCCTTCATCTGCAAATAATCTCGTACAAATATTGCATTTGAGATTCTTGAACTTTTAAGAGCGGCAGACGTGAAGCTGAATTTATAAAAAAAAATTATTTATTTCTCAGATTGGCTTTCATTTCGCACTCGTCTCTAAAAGATCCCCAAGATAATTGAAAAAACATGTTTGGAATGTTTTTTTTTCTGTCGTTTTTTTAAGTTTTACTAAGCTTTCATTGTTTGTACAATTTCAAGTCCCACTCACTTTTCGCCTCATTCAATGAGATCAAAAATGAATTGAAATTCGTGCAAAAATCTACGACTTTCAATTTTTTATAGGCTGCGTCAGTCATTTGTGTAAAATGATAAATTTTAAATGTTTTTGTAGTCTTTCTGGGATTCTTTCTTCTCATCTTGTCGAGATAAATGCGAAAAAAAGGAGAATTAATCACATTTCTTGTGTTTTCTTTATCTTTTGCCTTTTTTTTTTATATTTGGAAGACTGAGCATCGAACCATTTTCATTGTTCATCAAACGCTAAAAAGGAAAGAGCACAGCGCATGGAATCTTTTGACGAATCTTGGTCACATTATTCAGGCTTTAATACATTTGTGTGTACTGTGTAGGTAATACAGAATAAGTCCCTAGCATAATGAAGCACAATTCATCTTATAAGAATTCACAAAAACCACATTGTAGGAGAAAAAAAAACAATTTTTTAAGGCATGAGTGAAACCGGTTTGGTTTGGGTGAAGAAACAATCATTTAAAATAATTATTCATTTAGATTTTTGCTGCTTTTTTACAATCCCGAGCGTGTACAAAAGCAGTTTGTGCAATTTTAATAAACACTCGTGCTACAATGTATTTCCAATATATTTCACGGTTTTTGTTTATTTTTGGTTTGTAAGAAATGAAACGTTTTAGACGAATTCATTTCTTTCGGTTTGATCAATTAAAATTGATTGCTTTCATATTTCATTTTTTATTTTCAATAGAAAGCACAGCCTTAATTATGTCAACAATGAGCATCGTAAATTCATGTATTAATGAAATGCGTACATGGACGATTTCAGACACACCTGGTATTTTCATTATTTCTCTCACTCTCTCGGTACATAATACAAAGGGGGAATATCAAAGAAAAAAATCCTTGAATCACTAATGACACAAATGAACTAGATTCTTAAGCATTTTTCTCTTCTCTTTCATGATTTCTAATGATTTTCGTTAATACCTTTAAATAACATTCGATCTGATTTTTTTGATATCCACTCTCATGAATCCAATTTTTTTTTGCTTCGTAATCCTTTTAACAACAACTTTCGTTAATATATTTAAACGCCTCTAATTACGATGACTTCATTGTATACATATATGTGGTGTGAAGAAATTAATCCAATGACTGTGATTATCCGTTTATTATGTTTTGTTTAATGTGTACACAACCAACGATTTATTTGAAAACTTTTTTCAATAAATATTTGCGGCACTCATAAATCGAACCGAGATTCCAATTTTATATGATTTCCTTTTCTTCTGTATCTATTTAATTAGTTTAAAGCAATCAACAAAATTGTAAGCACATGCGATTTTAATACTTTATATGACCGTACACGACGCGATCCAAGTCTAGACTAAATATGAACACTTCGAAATTGAAGAAATTGCTCATTGTTTCATTTTCCAATTGTTCCAATAAACATTTGGAATGATGTTTATTGGAAAAAGTTTTTTCCCATGGAAAAGTGAAAAATAATGAATTTTATGCTCGATGTTGATGCAATGTTTTATTGTTTGTTTGCTGGAAATTACATTGAACTTGAAATTTAAAGAACAATACGTAGGTAAATATATTTTTGCAGATAACACGATGATTTCTACTTCGTGTATATGAATTGACATTTACTGGTAGCATTCACTGATTGGGGTTGCTTTACTTTTCATACCGTCACATTCATCATCTGAGAAATATTTTTAAGTTATATTAAATAATTATAAAAAAATATTTGATTTAAGTTTATGTAGGGATAGAACAATAAGTAGATAGAAAGATATTTTCTGAAAGAAATTAAGTTTGAAAGATGCTTCGGAAAAAATATTAATGTTGATTAAAATCTTAATTAAATTTATGCATAAATATGTGGCTATGATTACATAGCGAATTAATAATTTATTTAATTTAACAAAACTACTTTTATAAGAACAAATTTTCAACCTTTTCACAAGAATATAAAATAAACTTTCAATTTATTAAAATAAATGGCAACTTTAAAAAAAAAGTTTTTGTAAATTTCAATTATTTTAATTGATATTAGGTGACGTCAGTCTTTTTATAGATTTAAAAATTACTATTTAATAGGTTAATAGTTTCTTAATATTTTTGTTAAAGAATTATTTCTTAACAAGGGGAAATGTGTGAAAATTAAATTTATTAAAAATAAAAGCAAGAAAAATCAAAATTCGTCATTACCAATATGATGGAATGGTGAACTTTGATTTTACTTATTATTTTTAAATATTTCCCCTACAATTTTTTAATGAGAAAGCAATTTTATCTTTAAAATTTTGTTAATAAATTAATAATTCGTAAATGTTCTTGTTACTTTTTTCTTAATGAAAATATTTTCAATTCCTTCAACTAATTTCCTACATCACAAATCAATTTATAGTTCAGCAATAGCAGTGCAAAAAAAGTTTATAAAACTCAAATGAAACCTCTGAAGGTTGTTCAAAATATTTTCCTAATTTCTCCGACTCAAACGGGAAAATATAATAAACTCCTCTTTGTTTATCTAAATAAGTTTTTAACTTACTTTTTTGCCATTTTGAATCCGGGCATTTCTATTGGAAAAAAATGTTTAAAACATAAAATTTCAATAAATTTTGTAAAAAATTTAAACTTACCCTGACAACACTTCCTCTGACACAACTGACAAAGGAAAGTGGCCACATAGAACACTTGGAATCATCAGCACTTTCACCCTTCTTCTTCTTCCACTCTGCTGCCATTTTTTCCCATTCTTCTTTCTTCTCTCCAACTGTTTATGGGGATTGTCAAATTTTTCATTTTATAAACTCAACTTTTTAAAGTATTCTTACATCGTTTCAGACAAAAATCGATTGACTCCATAGTAATATCTTTAAAATCGCCTCCATCATTTGCCGTTAAGATAGCGCCAAACTTTTCTTTGATTTTCGCTTCATCAAATACATTATTGTCATTCATCAATCCTTCAGCTTTAAAGATACAATCAACTCCACAAGCTTTAGCTTTAAACTGTTCCTTAAAGTCCTTTTCGTCTTTTTCATCAAAATGTTGCTTGCATTTTTCATTGCTTAACATATTTTTATGTTGAGGTAAAGGACAACATTTAGACAAAGCAGAAGTTTGTTTCCAACATTCTCCCATTTTCATCCACTTACTCATTGCATCATCTCCACATGAAGCATACTGTAATTACGTTGAAAGTTTAATTAAACAGAAGAATAATCAGAGAAAAGAACTTCAAGAATAATCAGAGAAAAGAACTTCAAGAATAATCACTCACAGCTATTATCACTATTAAAACAAAAACTTTTATTTTCATCATTTTTCTCGAATACCAAAAAGAACTGACTGTGAATTAAAACACAATTGTCTGAGTTTTATATATGAATTTTTAATCGCGATTTTGTGATTGTTGCTATTCTACATTTTTTGAATTGTAGATAATTGCAAGATTTACTGATAAACACAAGTTTTAACATGGAATTTTTTTTCGTATATGATGTTTATTCAAAAACAAAAGGGAGTCATCCGATATACTTATAAGCAACACTTGACTTCAGATGTCTATATGCTGATAATAATTAATCGCTAAATGTCAAATGATTAAAATATTTGATAAATTAAGGTTACATTAGCGTGTCGATTCAGGGTGAGAGAGTGAAATAGGAAAGAACGTATTTCCGTCACTCTATTGGAATAAACTTGTAGAAATTAGCGCCGGTTGGGTTAACACGCTCTTCAAACTCATCAGTTTGTAAAAATTGATAAGTTGCCCGATGTGTGTTGAACAAATCCTACATAAATGTATGAAATAATTACAATTAGTAATTTCCTTAGTGTTAAATTAGTTTTATTTCACTTTACCTTGACAATGTATCCAAATTTGTTGGTAAGCTGAAGATCTTTAAGTGTAACATTAAATGCATGAGGATGACCATCAGTTCGTCGAGAAACAAATGCAATTGCATATGAATGTTCTTCTTTTACGATTGGCATTATTTTTCTAGCCCAAGCTTCAATTCCATTGCCTGAATTAACTCGTCGACCTTGAATCCCCAATGAATCTTGATTAACAGCGATAATGTCACGATTCAATATCAACTCTTTCATTTCAGGCTTAATTGTTCTCAAATCAGTTGACAATAAAAATGGAGCAGCTAATATTGCCCAAACAGCCAATTGAGCTTTACTTTGATCGTAACTCAAACCGTAATTTCCATGTAGAAGCGTATCTGGTTTCGACATGAATAGAATTTCAAATAAGTTTCACCTTTCAATGAAACAAACAATAAAATCTCACCAGGATCATTCCAATGACCATTTCCAGCATGAGGTGCAACTCTATCTTGATTTTCTGCAAAATAATCAGAAATAAACTTCACCGACTCCCAACTGTCTTCAATGTCTATCCAATTACGCCAAAGATTGCAAGTTTTCTTTAAGATTTCATAGTCAGGCTACATTAGATGTCAAAGAAATAAAATCATGTTTGAAAGTATTCTTGAAACGTTTTAAATACAACTTACGACTTGAGGTGGTTTCCGGTAATCTAAGAGAGAAGATATAAAATATTCCATTTATGTTTGAATTTATAAAATGAACAAGAAAACTTACATTCGAAATATGCGGGCCATGAACATGAATACCTAAATAATGAATAAACAATTGAAGTGATTGATGTCTTTGCAATATTTGTTCAACTTAATTACTTACATAATTGGCCTTCCAGTTTTATTCATAAGCTCTCCAAATTTAATATAGCCTTCAACCATTTGGCTATTGTCAACATTGCAACCGTCCATCTTAATGAAGTCAACACCCCAATCAGCTAAACTTTGTGCATCAATTTCCAAATGGTCAATAGATCCAGGATAACCAGCACATGTTTTAGTGCCGTAGTCCAAATAAGTTCCAAATTTAAGTCCTTTAGAGTGAACCTAAATGGAAAACAACACATTAAACACTTAAGTAACATTTCCCATCGTCTTCTTACGTAATCGGATAAAAATTTGATGCCTCTTGGAAATCGCTTCTTGTCGGCTACAATTTTACCATTCTCATCTCTCTCCAATTCGGACCAGCAATCATCAATATTGACGTATTCGTATCCAGCATCTAAATATCTAGATTAGAGAAGAGAGAAAAAGTCAACATAAAAAATTCAAGATTAAATTGCTGAGGAACGAAAGAAGGTTTTGTCAAGTGGAGTCAAGCGTAAAGTCTTTTAAAATAAAGAAATAAAATTGTGACTGAAATCTTGACATTATTAACATTTCTTATGGATTCCATTAGCGAACTTTTCTCTTTTCTCACCCTTCAGAAACCATAACATCGGCCGTTTCCATAATTAAATTTTCGCTAATGCACTCTTTCGGATACTTCTCACAGTCGGTAATACAGCGAAATCTTTCCCATGTCATCCAACCCATGGGCTTTTTAATGATAAAGTCAAACTTGTTTCAGTTGAATGAACTTAAGAAGAATTTTATAATCAAATACTTACCGGTGTAAATGCCAATCCATTATCCAAAGCTCTTATTGAAGAGACGAGAAAAAGAACGGAAAATATTGCAGCTTTCATTTCGATGTCTTCACTTCTAGCGTCTGCTCAATTTAATGTCTCAAAGGGTTTCAAGTTGCTTCTATTTATACTCAAGTCGAAATCAGAACAAACAGATATCAATTTCTTGATTAAAAACTGGTTAAGTAGAAGGCTTTTTCTTACGATAACACCTAAGAATTACTTATTACAAAATTTCTTGACTTAAATTGTTGTGAATATGCGGTTATCAACTAGGTCGCCACTTGCTTTTTATTTTTTCGACATTTTTATTATCATAGCCAGTACCAACGATAATGTAGAAAATTATGAAATTATTTGTAAATAAACGTCGTGATGCTTGTTTCTTTGACCAAAATCTTTGAACAACTGGTTTTTAATATAAGAAAAAATAGAATTTATAATGAGTTGAACAGGGTTGTCACTTAACATGAGAAGAGTGTTTGACACTTTCGATTGCTTAAAATGTTTAATTAAACCAATTTTCGCTGTACTTTTATATAAATGAACTGGCACAATGATGCAAGTGACGTAATGTCAGTAATCATCCGGAAATTCATTAAATGAAGAGCATTATTCATAATTCTCCCAAAAACTTGTCGTTTTCTCACCACGAGACAAAAACTTTAAGTGTTTGAAGCTTCACAGAGAGACGTAGAAAATGTTTAGATAATAAAAAAGAGCTTCGTCGGTAATACTTTGACGCTTTAAAATATTCAATAATCAACATATTTTTAATACAAGAAAACGCAAATTTAAACAAAAAGCTTTTAATCAATTGTTTTTTTTTTTGAATAGTCAAATCACTTGTTTTTTTATTTTACTCTCCCCTCGATTTCATCGATGTTGCTTCGATTAACTTTTGAGTTCATTGAACTTACATATAAACATGTTTTATGATATCACGTTAAAGAAAAGCCACTTCGTCCCTTAGAACAATTCTAACAACAACTCTTTTTCTCCGGTGAGAATATAAAACAAACATCAATGAATAATTCATTAAAGCTAAGCTAACGTAGGGTGTTACAAAAACACCGCAAACCTAATCAATCATAGCTGTAAACAATTATTTTTCAATTTGTGTCTGACAATTTTCATAGGAAATTCTGATATAAATTTGAGTCATGATTATTTTCAATAATAAATCCTTTAATTGTTTTATCTTTCCTTGTGGTTCCAGCTCGCCTAGCACAATCACACCATCAGGGGCTGATGTAAAAGACTAAGCAAGACTAGACGAGATGAGAAGGGTGTGATTGAGATGTGAGAGTTTACGTCTCAATTTTTCAGGATTATTTCTAACTGTTTTCTTAATCATCAGCATCCAGTCGACATAAAGTTTTAGTAGGAGAGTGAAAATAAACACCAAAAGCATAACAAAACCTGCAACCCTCTTTATTTACTGAAAGGATTTCAAGAATTTATTATTTCTGGGTTGTTTTGACAACGAAAAAAAAAACAAATTTCTCGGATGATTGCGGCTTCGTTTTATTGCAAAGAATCGATTGCCGACACTTAAGCAAAAAACAACAATATTCTGTTTCCCATTAAAGTTGCCTTTTGCGTATATCCACATGACGGATAAAAAGAAGCATTAAAATTTTAATCGTTGTTTTCGAAGCACCCCCGAAATGCCTCAGCCGAAAAATGCTTTGTTATTCAAATGAGGAATGAAAATGAAATCATTTATCTCCCTTTTTTTCTCTGGTAGTTTCGGTATCATAATCAACGACAACATTAATGAAGCACATACAAAAAAGAAACGAATTGTAAAGTTTAGTAACAACGAAAGACAAATGTGCGCTTGTGCAATGCAAACGAAACCCGGAAAAGTGAGGAAATTTCCTCTGTACTTTTCCTTTCTCAGCTCGGCAATTTCGAGGTGAAATAAATGTTCAGAATAATAAAATCCTTCGCACATTTCAACGTTTGAAACAAGGGGTGATTTTTGAAGTTTTTCTTCGGCTCCCTTTTTTTAATTTTTCTTTCAGTTCTTTAATGCCACGCTTTTACTTCCTGATCTCTCCAACTCCTAGTGTGCTGGAAAAGTTTTTCCTCGATTTGCTTTAAATTTAAACCACTCAAGTTCGAGAGATCTGAGTCCGGCATAACTTTTTACTGTTTTCAGCTTTTTATTTGCCGCAATTAGAAAAGGAAGAACGGAAATAAAATACAGTCGTAAAATTTTATTAAAATTAAATTTTCTGAAAGCAAAAATAATAAGAATTAAATCGATATCAGATGTCAACGTCTGAAAAATGTTTCACGTGTCGTCAAGAGATAAAAAAAGTTTTTTCTTGTGATGGCTTAATATAATTAATAGCTAATTATGTCAACTTATCATCTCAAGTTAAATTATTGTTTACGCAAAAACTTTGAATCACGCTTCGAAATCTTTGAAGAAAAAGGGAGAGGAAAATGTGGAGGAAGATAATAACCGTAATTAATTTTAACTTTGAGGACAAACGCAGCCAGTGTTTTTAATCTTTTGGGATTACAAAACTTTAGCATGTTCTTGTTGCTTGCAAGAAATCTTAAAAGGATTATATTTAGAGTTAGACATTTCATGCTTTCAGCTCACATAAAAATGTGTTTTGTAGATAACGTGTTTACAAGACCTTACCAAAGATTAGACGTGCTTGAGGTGAATGTTTTATTAATGCATTTAAAGAATTTTTTTTATGAGAGACTACAACAGAAACCTTAATTCTCTAATTTCTACAAATGGTATTTACATTGAAAATATGAAATATTGGTGAGTTAATTAAAATCCCATTAGTTACGTGTTGTCAATTTAACTACAAACTATTATATATTTACCTTTAGTTGTTACATAAATCATTGTAACTTCCCTCATTAGTGAGACAGAACCCTAACTCCTAGTCTCCTACCACTTCCATGAAAACAACATGAGAAAAAAAAATTAACGAAATAACTTTGATGTGATGATAGAATTCGAGACATTTCGTCAATTACATATTGTTCCATTAAAAGTAATCCCTTCTTGATTCACGATGAAATTTGTTGAACCTAAAATTGTGGACCCCCAAATGTCAAAGACAAACATAATTTATGATTTCTCGGTTCCGCTTTTTACAACAACAGAAAGTTGAAATTTATTATCATTAATCATACTTTTTTTTGTTCGTCGTCGGTAAATTTTGAAAAAGTTTTTGGCACATTCACCCACAATCCAAGAAGGACTTTTTATCGAGAGAAAAGTGAGAAAATACTTTCATGACCCTCGAGAATTTTAATTCTTTCGTTAAAAGGAAAAGTGTGTAACGATTTTTCACGACCTCAAGCCTTTTAGTCACAGTTGATGAACTCTAATAATCGTCATATGTTGTTGATGTCGTGCAAATGGTTGGAAGAATAATAACATTGGTGCATTACAAACATTAAATTCTCCCTTAGACGTTCAGGGAGAATATTAAATCATCAAGATGAATATTAAATTATCGGAATAAGATATACGTACCAGTGATGTTTCCCTTGTCGCAAATACTTATAATAAGCACGTTCACCCTCAAGATATTTATGTTTCTAATATTTAATGCAACATTCATTATTTATTAACACAAAATGCATTGTGCATCATTATTTTGTCATAAAAGCAACAGAGTGTAGCTAAATACTAACAAACTTTAATTACAATCTCACTCATTATTCAATTTAAATTAATTCTTCTTCCTAACTTGCTTAAACATCTTCTGCTTTATTCAAATCAATTTCTTATAACAAATACAAATAGATACATACAAGTAGGTGTTGTGGAAATAAAAATTAAATTTAAATATTCTCGACATTTCCAATGTCTAAACATTTCCAATGAAGGAAATTTTCAATGTTTTGATGTTTTCCTTCATGTTAAAATTCTGGATTATTCACAATTCCAGTGAAAAGCTTAGCTCCCGTTGTATCATCTTCAATGTAGAAAAGGAAAGGATGATCGGCTATGAATTCTCTGGGTTCACCTCCAAACTTATTCACCAACTCAATTTCAGTTGCAGACCATGCAGTTGTTCCTAATTAATGTATCGTGAAACATTAACAACAATTAACAAAATGTTCTACTTCTAATTCAAAAACCTTTTTCATCTACAACAATTCCTGATTTTTGAATAATGTTTGATACTTTGAGCTTTCCTTCAGTTGTACCGCCTCGTGCAAGTAAAGGGAACGTTGCATTCGTCTCGAATATTTCTCTTATACCAAGCTGAAAATAATGATGTCAATTAAAACGATTGTTCATCAACATTCAATTCTTACACTTTTAATGACATCGTTGAGATTTATTGACGAATCAAATTTAAACTTTGGTAGTACAACATGAACCTCTGGGAGGATAAAACAAGAATTGAAATTATTGCAAATTTATTTAATCAATATTTACCTGTTTCATCTACATTCTCAACTTCATTTCTCAATATTTCTGAATCGACACGATTGACAACGCCTTCCAAACCGTTGGGTTCTTTCGGTAAAATAATGAACATGGAATAACGTCGTCCATTGTAAGGCAAACGAATAATATGAGAAGCCAACTGCTTTGAATAATAATAATAGAAATTTCTTGTTACTTCTACGAAGCTTTTGTCAACTCTTTGTCCAGGTTGAGAATAAAAGCCACCAGTGAAGGTGTTATTGAAACCATATCGCCATGTTCCCTCAAAGTAGAGTGCATTGATAAGTAGGATAACGGAATTCGCAACAGAATCTTCGGTGACTAAACTCTTAAGACGGCCTTTGGTGCTTTCAGATATCCAACTGTTAATTTTTTGTGCAGACCCTCGTGAATCATCAAAGTTAAGATTTTCAATGTCAACTAAATAGTTGTGGTTAGCAATCGAACCAAATCTTTGGTTGACAGCAACATTTTTATCAACATAAATTTTTGTACCAAAATTAACAGCATATTCTTCACTTTTAGACTAGAAAAATGAAAATTATTATTGAAAATTTTCGCAGAACATATAAACTCACTTCTAGAGATAGTAAAATCTTCTGGAAATATTCTTTTGCATCGTTAAGATTCTTGTTGTAAGGTAAAACTTGTTCCAATTCCTATGAAAGAAAGCAGCTCGTTGTACAACTTGTTGTGTGTTATTTCTTTAACAACTTTATTTATTCATGACTCACTTTTCTTGTCAAAGATTCGACAGTTTGACCTGCAGCTTCAGCGAGCAATGTCAACAAAAGTTTGACAGACAACGGTGACAAAATGACATTTCCGCCTTTGCTACTTTGAAAAACAGCCTAAAAATTTGATGATTATTGTGGAAGTCTGAATCAATCAAAACATTAATAATTTTAAATTATTAACCAACCCTTGAAAGCCTCCAATCAAATTGATCTTGTTTATTTTGTGGTTGGACATACTCATCAGTTAGAGCGGAAGTTGGCGTGGGAGTAGTAAAAATTCCATCGAAAGTTGGATCATTAGTTTGTGCACCGGCAAAAGCAACACCCGCTAAGCCTTAACATTTATGAGTAAGCATAAACAAAAAGTGAACATTTCAAGTTTTTTTCCAAGCTTAGTCAACTCAAACATGTTAGTTCAATTCTTCGCATAATAAAAACACTTTATCTTAAGACAATGTCACCTTGGACTTAGTGTAACAAACTCAAGCAAAAGCCGGTTTTTATATATGCAAATATAAAAGTTTTGTGATTCTTTATATTTTTAAAGCAAATTGTTTAGATGTCTTCCGATGAAAATTTGAATATTTTATGTTGAAGAATAGACATTTCTTATCAAACAAAACAAACGTAACTTATTGAACTTGGAGGTCAAATTTTATAATCTTAAGTGTTGGAATTTTTTCTCGTGAAGTTTAGTTATCATTTTTCTTAATTTCTTAATTTTATATTTTGTTTATGTGAAGAAAACTTTTGAAATTATCAAATTTACTACTCACAAATTAAAATAATGTTAAACATTTTAAAATTTCACGAAACTAGTTCTAAAGTAAAATTAATCCAGTAATTTTAATATTTTCTTATTCCACACGACTTCCCTTCCTTGAGAAGTCTGAACACGGACTGCTTCTCAAAGAAGAAAGAAAAAGAAATACTAAAGAAGTATTAAATTGAGAAACTTTAGTTTGCTCTCTCAAAATGACAAAAATGAAATAAAATTTTAAATCGCATATTTGTTTTGCTGGAATTCCCATTCTTGTGCTATAAAAACAATTCTCGTTACTCTGAGAATATGACAAATTTAATCATTTCAAAGAGTCTCTCGTTTAAATATATAAAGAATTAATTTTTGTTCACATCATTTCGATCAGATCATGGGAATTTATTAATTAATGTTATGTCGTAATTTAAATGACAACGTTAGTGAACATTTTAACCAAGCATTCAATTAATTAACACATCTTTGATTTCATCTTGGTGAAGTGCTGATTCGTAGTCGACACTACACTTCAACACGTATTAACGAGGCAAGCAAATCAATTGGATAATGATTATGTGAATGAATTTAAAGAAAGAGCGAAGTTAATGTGGTTAAACGGTAGAAATTATTTTAGCGTAAAAATCTTGTCTTGTTAAAAAATTTCTTCAGACACTTAAGGCAGTTAAGAATGTTGTGTAATTTTGATAATTTCTTGAGAATTCTTGATGAGAATAATCATTGAGCAGAAAGTGAAATGCACATTGAATGAAATAAAAATCTTGCTTCCGGTTTTTTTGATTTCTTAAACTTTTTATACAGATTCAATCGTCCGAAAATGAAAACCAATGTAGATGATTGCATTGGAAATAGCTCGATGGTATAAACTGATGCTTGAAACTGATTCACGAGTAGATACTACAATAAAAATTCAAAAATGAAAAAATCTCGAGTTCATTCAACAATGCCGAATTTAACGAAATAATTACTTAATTTCCCCTTCTTTCTTAACACTACTGACGGTGGATAAATGCCCGAGAAAGCGAATTGAAATTGAGAAAAATTCAAAAAAATCTATAAATAGTATAATGAGCCAAACGAAAGTGATAGTCGAAAATGTGAATTGTGATCGATCGGTGTGTGGAAAAATTAAAAAAAAAAGAATTGAAATAAAGTGAAGAAGAAAGTTGGAAAAAATGTTAAGAAATATAATTGTGATAATTGTCTTGAGTAGATTTGCATGTTGCATAAATCATGAACAAGAAGATTATATCCAAGTTGAAAACAAGGGAACAGCTCGAAGTTCCCCACCTTATAAAGTTCCATATTATGATTCGAAAAATCAGAAAAAAGTTTACACAAACAAAGGTGAACCACAAAAGTCTGCAAAAATTATTATAAGATACGAACCAACTGATAATGTTCGAGTGATGACACCAATATCAAGAGAAGATATCAGAATGATAAAAAAGTTATCATTTCATGGTAGAACTCCACCATCGTCTACAAACAATAAAAACACAACTGTTGGCATGTCGCGATCTTCATCACCTAAACAATTCAATCTGAATCATAGGAAATATGAACATCAACAGAAATTTGATTCAGAACGCAATCGTATTAATAATATCAGAGTAACAGATAAGAAATTCATTCCTAAAGAAAAAGGTTTTCTTCCGTTGTTTAATCCGTCGCCTATAAGCATTCAACCAATTGAACCTCGAAGCTTTGAAACGACGAGAAATTACGTTGATTTCCTTAAAATGCGTAATCAGAAGTATTACGATGAGCTTGACGAAGACTCGAACGAAGACATTAACCAAGAGCCAAACGAAGAAATTGAATACTTTGTGAAACGTGAAAAGGAACTTGTGGAAGAGCAACGACCGAAGCTTGAACGTGAATTCATTGCAACTGAAAGTGGGGATATTGAAAGCATAAATGATCAAAATATCGATGAAAATATGAACAGACAAAACGTTGAGGTTTACAACAATGAAAACGAAAATGATGACAATGAAGACCAAATGTCTTTGAGAAATGAAAAATTTATTCCATTTCGATTGTACGCTCAAGTAAGACATGTTGAAGCTGAAAGTCACAAACCAAAGTCTTATGCTTCACATCCACAAGCGAAGGAAAGATTAACATTGGAAAAGAAAAACTTGTACTACAAAGAAGAAGGTTTCGAAGACACTGATTATAACCACGGAAGTGAAAAAGTAAATTCACATTTTAGAGTACGAAGAGATGCTGAAGAAGAAGTTGAACAACCAATGGCTCTTGCCATTATAAAGAAATCTGATTTACCTGAGCTGACGGGAGAAAAGCTTTTAAAGCAATTAGATGAATTGTTGAAAAAAACTTCTTTGTATCTCCCAGATGATGACGACGAAGATGATGTAACTGATAATGAAAGCAGGAGGAAGAGACGACTTTCAAAGACAATTTATGGAACAAAAACAAATACGAAATCTCATAAATATCCTTACTATAATCTCCCCGACTCACAGACACTCGATACTATGTCAGCTTTCAGATATTCGGAAAATATAAGAAATTTCCCACGAGCTAAAGAATCACTTTACAATTTTAAAAATGCAAAAATTTGTGAAGATATCGATCGTGATATAAATCCTGTCCCACATGACATTGAAGAAAAAGGTAAACGAACAAGTTACAACAAATCACCTCAGAGATTAAATGACTTGGGAGAAAAAATTTCATGTTATAAAACAAAGTATTTCGGAAAGGAACCTTTCGATAATCCTTTGTTTAAAGAGAAATATGTGGCAGCGTCAATTCCAATTCCATTAAAAGATTCGACTGTCATTCCGCATCAAGTAAATCCTCTCATAACTGTTTACGATGATGTCATAAGTAACATAAGGGCAGCATTTGCAGATGAATTGAAAAAGAAGCAAGAAGAAGAGGCGCTTAGAACAACCACGACTACACTAGCACCATTGCCTGTAACTAAACCTTATAGCTACTCAAAAGTTTCAGCTCCAGATATAAGAATTGTCAATTTAAATTATTCTCCTGGTGCTGGCTCTATTCGCCTGCCACTTTATGATGCCACAAATTATTACCCAAAGCCAAATGTAACAGCAAAAATAGAAACTTCTTCAACTCCATCCATCAAATACGCTTACAAATTGGAATACTTTGATAAACCAATTCCAGATCCCTCAGGCCATCAAATCATTAATCAAAAAGCAGGGGAAAAAGTCATCAAAAACTTAAGGCCACCAAACTTACAACCTGATCATAGAAGGAGAAGAAATCCCGCAAATCAAAAAAATTTTCAACAAGTTCGAAGTCAAACTGTGTCACATTATCTTCAACCACCAAATGCGGCGAATGAAAGGTTTAAATTTAAGCTTCTTTAATAAAAGATAATACATTTAAGCATCAAAATATTTATTTTTTAATTTTTGTTATTATATTGTCGCTGTTGGATAAGTTCATATTGTTTTTATACTTTCAATACTCATAAAACAAAATGTTTTAACTCACACATTTTTCTTTTCTATTCTTCTCAATTCATTTTAGTAAATAAATTTCCAGGCCTATTTTTTTTAATCATTAATAGTTATTAAGAACACGTAAGAAGAGATACAGATGACAGTTATTAGTAATTTTAATACAAATGCTTTGCTTCAATATGTATGTACAAAAAAATACAATCAATAAAAAACATTCGGATAAGTTGAATCTACCTGTAGTGGAAAGTTTTCCATTAATACATTAATTTTTAAATGATTACTAACAAACACTAAAAAACATAAAACAGGAGGTGTTATTTTAATTGAAATTAATTTTAAAAGTCGAGAACTTTCTGTTTCTTATCTCAGTCTTGAGCGAAAAGAGTTAACATGAAAAAGTTCACGATTTTAGTATTTTTAGTGCTTCTATGTTTAGTTGGTAACTGAATCTTAACATAAAATTGTTTTTCTTACTAATTTCACATTTGCTTTAGTACATCGTACAGCAGGTAAGAAGGTGAAAGCACCTAGAGATGGAAAAGATGGCAAAGACGGTAAACACGGCAAAGATTCTAAGAACTGCAACAAAGCCCAAGACGGAAAGGATGGAAAAAAAGGTCAAAAGGGCAAATGGGGAGGCAATGGAGGTGATGGTGGAGATGGAGGTGACGGTGGTGACGGCGGTCCATGTGGAAGTGGAGGAAACGGTGGTAATGGCGCAGATGGTGGAGCAGGAGACGGTAATGGAAATGGAGGCAATGGAGGCAATGGGGGCGATGGTGGAAACGGTGGAAACGGTGGTGATGGAGGTGATGGTGGTGATGGTGGTGATGGTGGATATGATGAAGATGATGAAGATGATGGTGATTGGGGGTGGTGGTAGTGATGGAAGTCCTGATGGCTCATATTAAATTTCTGAATGATAAAACCTTGAATGTATTTCCCCTTTCTTACTCATCTTACTTTCAAAATTAAACAGATGTTTAAAGAATCAATAAACTTTTTTATTCATCCACAGTTTCTTTCTTACAAATAGTTTTCTACAAAACAGTCAATTTATTTTTCAACTTTTCAATGAAATTATTAAACCTTTATTGAAATGGTTCATCTCAAATACAAAAAGAAAATAAATAGAATGAGAATAAAATTTTGAAAAAAGTTAAAGGAGATTTCATGCTTGTAAATGCCAAATTTTTTGATCATGAAAATTTAGCAGATAAAAATAAAAATAAGCTTAAATTCTACATACGATTAGAATTTCTTAAAAAAAATAAAAAGTGTTTTGTGTTTAAAATTTATCGCTTCTTAAAATTGCGTTTAGAAGCACATCGATTGATTATGTCACTTGCATGATCCTTGTGATCAAATATCTTGAGAAGTTGAGTTCTTGAATCCATGAAAGAGTCAATAATTAAACGACTCCTCTGTAAGTTCCCCTGAAATTTTTTTTTATAATAAATAGTGAAATGTGGACAAAAAATTAAATCTTACCTTTATTAATTCGCTTGCTTTTTCAGCTTCTTGGGATGATTCAAATGTTTCCAATCTTTTCAAGACTGCATTCAGCTTCTCCATTTCCTGAGTCTCGTCATTGATCTGAAAGTGAATAAAGAAACATTCAACATTCGAACGTTATAAATTTTGTTCCTTTTCTTACCATTTCAGTAATTTCAGCATTTATCATATGAGTCTTCCAACCATTAACGCGTTGAGCAACCTTTGGTTGATTAGCCAAGTCCATTACGCTTGGCTTTCGTTCGTCACGTACTCTTACATCAGAATAGCGTAAGAAGTGATTATGAGCGTGTTTTGGTGCATGATTGTAAGCAGGCAACAATGAAGCTTGTGGCTTTTTCAACACAACATCTTTCTTCTTATTGTTCGCATTTTCCGCACTATTCTCATTGTTAGTTTCAGCGACAGAATCAGAAATGTCAGTAGCAACACGTTCGCTGAATAAGAAAGAATTTGTAATTATTTAATTAAATTTTTGAAAATGAAAGAAATCTTACGTTTTAAGTTTTTTAGTTCGAGGAATCGCTTGTTGCTCACTCGATTCTCGTTTAACAGCGCTATTTATTTTTGCTGGAGTTTTATTCAAAAACTTTCCAATTTCCTCATTAACTTTGTTAAATTGGTTACTCATTATTAAAGCATCTAAATCTTCATCTTCGGATCGTGGACTATTCGGTATCGAAACTGTCGTCGAACCGTCAGACCAATCGTCACCATGCAAAGGACTTTCACGTTCTGAAAATATTGTTTTTGGAGAGGAAGCAGTTGAATGTTGCTTTGGTTCTAAAGGCTTCACATTAGTAAGTTGAGCAACAGCCGCTGACATTTGTGGACGTTGTGGGCCTCTCAATTGCAATGTCTCATGAACTTGGTAATTCTTTCCTTTCGGCTGTTTCTTAGCTCCCTTTACAGGTGTCGTTTCATTTTGCTTCCTTATCGCTGCTACCGGTCCACGAGGTGAAGTTGGAACTTGATTAGAAATTGGTACAATAACATGAGTTGCAGTATCTGCAATTGATCCTTGTTGCTGTTGAATAATATTTCCTGCACCCATTGTTATAATCTGATGCGATTGTTGATTTTGCGATCCACTTTGATTTTCAACAACTAATGGACTGAACCGAATTGGATTCGACGATGACGATTGTTGTTGAATATGCGATGAATTTCCTTGAGCAGAAGCAGCTTGATTTTGATAACTCGTTGCGATTATTGAATGAATCATTTTCTCATTGTATCGAATATTTGAAGCAGACGCAACAGTGTATGACTGCTCGTTGCTCGAGGAAGATGGTGTAGTCGTTGATGTTGTGACAGAAGCTTGCTCGTAATAAACAGTTGCTGGAGTTCCTGAAGTAGAATACGTTGGTGTTGAACTCGAAGAGGATACAGCGATAACTTGCGATTGAGCTGATGATGCAACAGTCGATACAGTTGGGATTCTTGTGTGAATGTACACAGGCGTCCCTTGATTTACTTGTGAACCAGAAATGTTCTGTTGATTCTGATTCACCACTTGCTGTTGGGACACAATCTTAGTAATTGGCATAATTGTCGTTGCTTGTATATTTCCAGTGTTAGATGACAGATTACGGTGAACTACAGATGAACTATCCAGTGACCCAGAATTTGATGCTGAAACGGTTATTGTCTTGATAGGAATATTTCCACTTCTTGAACCAATTGCTAATGGAACGACAGTCTGTACATTTCCACTTTGATGAATATTCGATTGATTACTAATTAATTGTTGCGGCTGTTGTTGTGAAACCGTAATAATTTGATTTCCACCTTGACTCGTCATTCCTTGTACTTGTTGGGTTGATTGAGTTGTGTAAATAGTCCCTTGTTGCTGGTTATTACCCTGCGTGACTTGAGATTGTCCTGACTGATTCGTTTGAATTGACGCCACCATTGTGTTCGACATCGATGCCATAGTGTTTGTTAGAGAATTGCTTATAATTGTACCGTCATTCGAAACTGTTCCTGAAGTCAATTTACTCACATGTGCAATGATTCCTTGAGGCAAAGGATTTTTCACTGAATGAGTTATACGAGGGCTGTTCACAATGATAGGCAACATAACGTTAGCAGAAACAATTTTTTGATTAGATTGACTGATGATTTGAGACCCTCCAGGTTGTTGTGATTGAACTTGGAAAATTCTTGCCGGGATTGTATTAGAAATTGTTGTTGACGACGCTAATCCCGAATTGGTTCTATTTTGTGTTGCAATAACCGTAGTAGGTGTTAAGCTAGGGACATTTTGACGAATACTCAAGCCAGAAGTATTCACTCGAATGCCTGTTGTTGGAATCCTCTGTATGGGACGAATTTGACGAGGATTTGTCGTACCTGTCGTTAATCCCATTCGTTGAACTTGTCCTTGAATAAATGGTTGCTGTTGCTGGGAGGTGTAGACAATTGTAGCTCCTTGTGGTCGCTGAGGAAGAACTGTAGCGACATATGTTGGTTGACCTGATGCCCCAGTTGTGGTTGTCGTCACACTGATATTCGATCCTTGTTGATTTGTAGACTGTCCAAAGATATTTGCAGTGATTGTACGATTCTGAGTTATTGTTGAACGAATAATTTGTTGAGGTACCTGAACTTGCATTGCACCGCTTCCTGACACCCAAGCAGTTGTACCTTGTGACAGAACAGCATTTGGTGATGATGTTCGCGGTGTAATCGATCTCACAAATGCAGGTGATATACCAGCTACAGAGGATGCGGGTGGAGTAGGCGTACGAATTTGTTGTGTACCTTTAGCTCCCTGAATTGTGCTCAACGTTGCTGTCACCCGAGGAAGATAAGTTGTTGGAGATTTAGAAACAGTAATTGTCGATCTTCCAGGAATTGACGATTTCAAAATTGTAGGTGGCATAATCTGTGTCTGAATAATTTGTGCACCGGATGCTCCTGTGCCCGGCATTCGAACAACTCTCATTGTAGGTGGTTGTTGAATCGTTCGAAACGTTTGCTGTATGGACATTTTTTCATTTGCTGGCTTCACAATAACTTTGTTTGTTACAGCTAGATCAATAGGTAATTGATGTGTTGTATGTATGGTCGGTTTATTTCCCGAGAGTGGGTTCTTTTCTGGTTCGTTAGGCATTTCACTTTATCTAAAATTAAAAATTTTATTTTTACTTTATTTTTTATTGGGAACAAAAAAAATCTTTCCATTCCCCTCCTGGATGAAGCCAAATAAAATTGAATTTTGACTAACAGCCTCAGACTTACTTTTTTCAACTTTATTTTAATGACAACTTATTTTCTTTACTTTTTTTCAACCTTTGAACATATTTTTATTTCAAAATGGCAAATATTGCAATAGATAACACTTTTATTTAGAAAAAATTTTGAGCTTCTTGTTGTTTTTCACATTAAACAGCTGTGTACCCATTGAGGGGTTAGTTTCTTGTGTGTTGAACTTCGAGAATCATATTTGGTGAGTTTTTGAAAAGATATCCGTTACAGAATATTCATTACGAATTATCAAAATCTTTTTTAATTTAACTTTAATTAGATTTTTCTGAACTTACTGCTTCTTTGCGAATGTCTCGAGAAATAAATAGATTTTTAAGAGAACTGAATTTATACTAAAGTTTTAAATGAAAATCAGTTTCAACAATTAAAAAATCATAAATCTAAAGAAGAATCAAAAGCAGAAGTCAAAAATTAAATAGGTCATAAATTTAAGTCCTTTTCTCACTTCATTAACCACCCTCTTATCTTGAAAAGAAAAAGCATAAACCCCATTTTTGTTATGTATCGAAAGCGCTTTATGTTTAAACAATACAGAATGGAATTGAGAAAATGTTTCTCCAATCTCATCAGATTTATTTTGTACATTATGTAGAAGAACATGAATGGAGAGCATGCGAGAGACATATAAAGCTACTTAAAGAACACTTCCCTTTCTTTTTCATGTATTTTACGTTACAGAGTTGGAGCATAGGAATCACATAAAAGTTTTAAAGTGATTTTTCTTATTTGCTTACATTTAAGTGTATTGATCTAAAATAAAAAAAAATGAAGAAAAAATACCGACACACGTTAGTTATTCTTTCCTAGATTTATGTTACCTATGCATAGCTTGTACAGAAAAAAAGCTCATTCACCCCTGACATTTATATACATTTTAGCTTTTTTCCCACTCAAATGATTCAGTGTTTGATATAAAAAGTTCGTCACAATCAACATAAAGCTTTAGTTTCTCTTCAGTTTTGACGCTGCTAAGTTGGTCCTACACATTTTTGATTTCTACGCTTATTTTTGTTCTTGGTATAATTTCTTGTATAAGTGGAACTAACTCATTTGATCATTCATAAGTAATTTTGGAAGTGCAAAAGTTTGACTATCAACAAGTAGGTATTAATTAGATAAGAAGATTATCAATAATGTTGAGTCTCAGTTCATGCGTGACAAACTTTCAATTGTTGATAATCTTAATTGGATATTTGAAATCGTGCTAATATGTTCAAGGAAAACGTGAAAACAATGATCTAACTAATAAAAATATTTTCAATATCTGCATAGAAAATTTCTTATCACGAATTTAATGATACAAAACTGATTTTTTCATTAAATTAATGAATAATAATATTACTATTTTTGCTTACAAAAGACTTCAAAATGTCTGAGGAGAAAAATAAAAAATCAGTAAGTGTAAATAGAATGAATCTTTGTGGATGTCGTATTATTATAATTGAATAACTGTGGCTGTGTGATATTTTAAGAATATTCATTTCTAATCTAAAAATACTAAAAATAAAATTTTACAAACATTTTTAGATAGACATGGAAGCCCCCGAGTTCAAAGATTTCGCCAGAGAGATGGTTGAATATATTGCGAACTACTTGGAAAACATTCGCGACAGGTAAATCCCAAATAAGTTTTCTTTTCATGAATCACATTGTTGTTAATACAAACCAATGAATAAAACCCGTTTTTAATAAGTTGAAGGAATTACCAGCGTCATCATCTTCAAGTTATGTTTATCTTGTAAAACGTTCTCGAGTTCTCTTCATCTATTCCATTTTAAAACGTTCTCAAATATCAACGATAAATATCAAACATAAATTTTCATATATTTATTCCCAATGTTTAGTTTTACTTTTCCTATTAACCTTGTTGAAATATTCCCTATAAATTGGCTGACTTTAATGACATTCTATTTTCAACCTTTAATTACAATTTGCACTGAAACAACTAAGACAACAGTTTGAAATGAATCGGAACCGGAACCAAAAATAAAGAAAACTTAAAGCACATATAGTGTGCAAATCAATTAAACAAAACTGGTTCTGTACAATGAAGGTTGAATGAGTCTCTTGCTCAACAAACATTGCAGTTGAGTTAAACTCTTTATAAGCTGTAAGTCTTTGTTCAAGGTCTTACAAGACTACCACAAACTATCCTCGACCATGAAATGAGAAACAAAAGTCATAACAGTAAAAGCTGGTTTATTTAGTTCGAATGCAATATAAATTCTTGAAATGTTAAAAGCGTTTTGCTTTATTTTGAATTTCAAAACGTAAATTCATAAATCATACGGAATTTTTTTTTGATTGAATGTATTAATTTTAATATTCTAAGACGTGTTCTACCAACTGTAACACCGGGATATCTTCGTCCATTGATACCTGATTCAGCACCTGAAAAACCTGATAACTGGACAGATGTTATGAGTGACATTGAGAGAGTTATAATGCCGGGTGTAACTCATTGGCATAGTCCAAAGGTATTTGTAGTTATCAAAGTTTTATAGCCATTATACATATATTTATGTTTCTTTTCTTTGTATTCAGTTCCATGCATACTTTCCAACAGCAAATTCTTATCCCGCGATTGTTGCCGATATGTTATCTGGGGCTATTGCGTGTATAGGCTTCACATGGATCGCAAGCCCTGCATGCACTGAACTTGAAGTTGTCATGCTTGATTGGTTAGGAAAAATGCTTGATCTTCCTAGTGAATTTCTTGCAAGTTCAGGCGGAAAAGGTGGTGGAGTAATTCAAGGAACTGCAAGTGAAGCAACACTTGTTGCACTTCTTGGTGCAAAAGCAAAAACTATGCAAAGAATTAAAATGGAACAACCTGAGCTTAGCGATGATGTAATCGTTTCAAAGTTGGTTGCATACTGTTCAGGTGAAATTAAATTTAAGATTTTTCTTAATGGAAATTTAATAAAATAATTAATCTCTTTCAGAACAAGCACATAGTTCGGTTGAGCGTGCTGGTTTACTCGGAGGTGTTCATATGAGAAAAGTAAAAGCAGACAGTTCTCACAAGTTGAGAGGGGAAGCACTTGAAGATGCTATTAAGAAAGATCTTGCTGCTGGTCTTATTCCCTTTTATGTTGTCGCTACCTTGGGAACAACAAGCACATGCGCATTTGACAGATTGGATGAAATTGGACCAGTTGGAAATCGATATAAGGTCTGGGTTCATGTTGATGCAGCTTATGCTGGTTCAGCTTTTATCTGCCCTGAATATAGATATTTGATGAAAGGAATCGAACTTGCTGAATCTTTCAACTTTAATCCTCATAAATGGATGCTTGTCAACTTTGATTGTTCCGCCATGTGGTTGAAAGATCCAAATTGGGTCGTTGATGCTTTCAATGTCGATCCTTTATATTTAAAACATGATCAACAAGGATCAGCACCAGATTATCGACATTGGCAAATTCCATTGGGACGTCGTTTCAGAGCTTTAAAGCTTTGGTTTGTTCTTCGTCTTTATGGAGTAGAAAATCTTCAAGTAAATTTTTAAATCTCTCTTAAAAACTCTCACAATTTACAATAAATTTTTTTCTTCTATTTTTGCTTAGACACATATTCAACGTCACATCGGATTTGCAAAAGATTTCGAAAAACTTTGTATGGCTGATTCACGATTTGAGATCTTTACTGAAGTTCAGATGGGACTTGTTTGTTTCCGACTTAAAGGAACAAATGAAGTTAACGAATCGCTTCTTAAGAAAATCAACGGGCGTGGCAATATCCATTTAGTTCCTTCAAAGATTGGTGATACTTTCTTTTTGCGAATGGCTGTCTGTTCTCGCTTTACAAAATCTGAAGACATGCAATATTCATGGGAAGAAGTCAGTAAGTCTGCTGATGAAGTTTTGTCTGCATAAAATGAAACAAATTGTGATTCATCGAAACTATTTGAGGACCATTAAAAATTTTATTTTGATATTCTTATTTAAATGATATACAATAAGTGGATAATAAAATTTTACAGCATCAAATTTTACGAGTTTTAATCACTTTATAAAAATTATATATAACTAATTTGTAAACATATAAAGTTTACAAAAATTTATTTAACATTAGAGATTGTAATTGTTCCGTCCGAACACGAGATGGCGCACATTTTTGGATCGCACGTAAAAAGAAGTTTATGAAATTTTTCTGTATGATTTTTTAGTTTTCTAATTTTGATAATAATTATTAAATGTTGAGCAGATTTTCAATGCTTTGTTTTCTCAGTTGTAGTATCAGAGCTTATATCAAAATGTCTTGTGATAACATCAGAAATTTCATTAATTTTCTCAAAAATGACTTTTTCGTTATTGTTGTTGTCAACATGAATTTCTTTACCTTCTTTTATTTGACTTTCTTCAACAATTTCTTTTTGTTCTTTTTTAATCTCTTCGAACATTTCATCGGCCACGGTTTTAATTTCATTCCAAGCATATTCAATATCTTTCTCTTGTGGATCCATGCCACAAATGACAAATCGAATGATAAATTTATCTTGGAATAATGCTGGGATCATATAAATATTTTTTCTTTCAACAATTTTGTCGAGAAGTCGCTTGCTCAAAGAACAATCGCCTTTCAAACGGAAGAATGCAAGAGCTAATGATGAACCTGCAACTTCAAATCTTTCATCTTCCGACATATATTTTAATAAAAGATTAGCAAGCGATATATGCTTTCGAATGTATGATCTAATGTAATCTTGCCCATAAGTTCTTAATGTTATCCATACTCTCAAAGAACGGAACCGACGTCCAAGTGCTAGCTGCCAATGTCTATAGTCAGGAGCTTTCGAATCACCTTGATATTTGTGATCAAGATAAATTCTTTCGACGTTGAAAGATTCAGTCAACGCATTAGCATTTCTGATCCACATTGCACAACAATCGAAGTTTACCAACATCCATTTGTGTAGATTAAAGTTAATTGAATCCCCATATTCCGCTCCTTCCTTTATATGCGCGTATTCTGGTAAACAGAACGCTGCCCCAGCATATGCTGCATCAATATGCATCCAAACATTGTACTTCTTGCAAATTGGTCCAATTTCTTCCAATTTATCAAATGCACAGGTTCCAGTCGTTCCTACGGTAGCAATGCAAACGTATGGAATTAATCCGGCTTCAATATCAGATTCAATTGCTTGCTGAACAATTTCTCCTCGTAAAATTGAATTTTCATCGGAATCAAGTAAACGCATTTTAGTCGCAGCTAATAATCCTGATTTTTCAATTGCGCTGTTAGAGTGAATACTTCCATAGCCAACAAGTTTTGCACGAATATCTCCTTCACTCATTTCTGGTCTTTCCTTTTTCATTTGACGAACTTTTTCTTCACGCGCTGCTAACACAGCTACTAATATTGCTTCACTTGCTGATCCTTGAATAATTCCACCGCCATTTCCGGGATCACTGTATAGAATTTATTTATTTTAATGAAACTTAAGAATTTATGATATCTAATTCTTTTTTCGTTTTTATTTTACCTCGGAAGAAAATGTGCTGGGAGATTTAGAAATTTTCCCAACCAATCCATTACAATGACTTCTAATTCAGTGCAAGCGGGACTGCATATCTGTTGAAAGAAATAAATGTCATCATGTAATTCAATTAAATTTTATTGTTTAAAAATATCTCACCCAACTAAATCCAACAACACCTGAAGAAAGGTGGAAAATGAAAAAAATAAAAAATTAAATTAAACTAAAAGAAGTGATAAGAAAATAGATAAAATGAAAAATATGATTTAATAATAATTGGATTTTTATTCGCATCTTCTTCAAGCGAAATAAATTTTAGTTAAATTTCAATTGCAAATATATATCTAAAATATTCATTTTGATGTTAGCTAGTGCTTGAAAAAGATGCAAATATAAGACGAAATTAATTGAAAAGGCACACGGAAACATCAATAGGGTGTGGTACAAGTTTACTTCTCAATTTTAAACTATTTAAATATTAACCTAAGCCAGCGGAAATCATTTCTCCAATAATTGCTGGGAAAGATGTCTGTGATGGATAAAACGCATGAAATCTTGGAGACTGCCAGTGAGTTAAACCTGGCAAGATGAAGCTGTCAAGATCTTTCATAATATCCTTCCAATTTTCTGATTCCTTTGGCATTTCAGTTGGAAGCAGTTCATGTAAATATCCTGGTTCAACTGAAGGCAAAACTGGCCTATTTCCAAACAAATATAAAATTCATTTATTGCACTTTTTCTGTTAACTCATCATTTAAAATTCATTAATGAAATTCCGTTCGAACCTTTCTCTAATGTTCTCTAAGTAATCAGCCAAGAAATCTATCGCGGCACGACCAAACTCACGAAATTCATTAATGTCCATTTTCTTCACTTTACATACAAAAAAGTCTTTTTCAGGTTTAAGATTTCACTTAATATTACTGCACTTGTATTATGTATAATGATCACACTTCAACGGTATCTTGCAAACTGAAATAGTTTTCGGGTTTTTTCTGATATTTATTGTAAAATCATGAAATGACAACAACAAGGTGGAACGTAGCTATTATCAAGCGGAAAAAAAGAGAGAATAAACTGAGAAAGTGGATGTTCGTTAATGAAAGATAAAAAATATGCAAAATATCGAGATCACTAAGTGTTTTTATTTTAATTTGATTATGATCGAAACTGAAATGATTCTCTCTGTGTGTATATAGAGTAAGATTTTGAATTCTTTCATCATTTCTCGTCTGGTAGGCTTGTTCATTTCCCTCAATATTAAATAACAATAATCATTAATATCAGCGCAACATATTAAATATGTTATTTAATACATATCTTGAACTTATTTACATATCAATCAAGTTTTTCTCGAAGATCGGAAGATGTGATTCATGATTAATTTCACTTTCTTCTTTCTTAATTATTGTTATTTTTTGTGAAGCCTTGAGCCTATCTAGACGAAAGAGAAGAAGCACTGTGACATCATGGGTAGATCTTGTAAGAAAACAAAATAATAATATTTGTATAATAATTAGTAATATTTGAGTCATGAAAGGAGCCAGACAAAATAGTTGATTGATTAATTTTAGGCAGAAATTAAATGTTAAAACGCTCATATTAAAAATATTTCATAGCTCAAAATATGCTTCGAGCTTCATTAAATATAGGTAATAAAAATAGAATTTTCAATTATTCTCAACACC